GGAATTCATTTGTTTAGTCAATTACCAAAATTTGGATGATTTTGAATATTCACTTGAAAAGTTATCAAAGAAAAACATTTTTCATTTTGTAACTTCGAGGGCCCGTTACTTGGTAACGAAGGCTTTTAGGAAAAAAAGTTATATGAAGTACTGGTGATATTTTGACCCCATCTATACATTCCCGAGAGGAAAAGAGGAAGTCCAGGGACACCCTGTATATTCTTGCTCCTTGTTGCAAGCCTTTCAATTTCGTTTTGTTCAGTAGAATCATCATTTAGTTTATACACAAATACATTTTATTTGTGATTTCACCCATATATCAGAGAAAGAAATATCTCGATTATTTTAAACAAGTAATGGAAAATGTTAGAATTGAGTTGAAATATTTATAGACAGGATGAGTTCATGGTATGGAAAACGATGAGTTGTCGAATTCACAACCTTGTTTTTCCTGCTGCCTTCTTGATATAAAAATGATTGAGGCAGTTCTTTATGTCTAAAAATTGAATGGACTGTAGCTATTAACGATTATACCAGTAAAATGGATAAGTAGGTACAAATCCTAAATAGTTCAAATAAAAGCTTCTAGCAGGTCTAAGAAATGTTAAAAGAAATTTTTCAGTAGGTCTACGAAATGTTGATGGAGCAAGAAATGGAGAGAATCTAAAATATTCAGTCAGAGGGTGAATGGGTAGAAGCTCGAAAAGAAACATAATTCTGTCAGTTAGAAGTGAGAGAGGTATTGCAAACTCAAAATATCTCTAGAAAAATAACGACAATGCACATCCGCTTCCAGTATTGACGGTCCACTGAAATTAGTAAATGAAAAGAAAAACCTATATCTGTTAGAGGAGTCAATAATTGTATGATTGCTTATACTCATATATGAATATATGGATATTGATAAAGGTAATAATTTGTAGACGCTGCAAAATATCTGTGGCTTCCGTGACTTGAGTATCAAGTTATCCAGCCGATTTGAGATCTTTCTTCTAAAAGAAGTGATAGTTTACGTATGCGCCTCAGCCTGGAAAACTTTTCTGAGAAATGGAACATCTCTAAAAAATAGAACACAACACTTGATGATTTTTGAAAGAATTCACAAGTAATTTTTGGATGAGTTACCAAAAAGTTTATATGCGAGCGCTTTCGATAGCAGGCTGTACTGTCATTTTCATGAATCTACTCAAACTGAACGTTATATCTCCTTGTTTGTTCTTTTATACGGTTAAAACGCCTTAGTGTAGGTGTTTGTTCTCTCCTGTTTTTCGGATGTCTCTTTAAATTTGCCTGTATTTGGGTTACATCCGGTAATATCCTTTGTGTTGGAGTTTCTCTAGTTTCATTATTTCTAGGAATGTGTATTGTATTGTGTAGTATATTGAATGTTCGGTCTTGCTGTGTTTTTCCAAATTTTAATTTTTCTCGTCTTTTCAGCTTATTACTACTATAGGATGTCGTTGAGTGATTTTTGTCCAATTTTTCACTACGAATTCAAATTGAAACAAAGCGCTGCCGAAACAGCCCGAAAAATCAATCAGGCGTTTGCTAATGGTAGTGTTATTGAACGAACTGTCCGACATTGTTTTGCAAATTTCATTCCGGATATTTTAGCTTCAAAGATGAAATCCGAAGTCGACCTAACAATGATTTGGGGACTATGGTGAAGACTGACCTATCACAAACTGTGTGGGATGACGGAAGAACTAGGCGTCAGTTTTCAAACGTTTTTTGATGGTTTGAAACCTATTGGAAAGGTCAAGAAGCTCGAAAAGTGAATGCCCCACGATTTGAACGATCGACAGGAATTGCCACGTTTCAAAGCCTGCTCTTCTTCGCTTTTGTTCAACCAAAACGACCCTTTTTGAATCGGATCGTCACGTGTAATGTAAGTGGATCCTCTATGAGAACAGGAAACGTTCAGGACAGTGGTTAGACTCCGATGAGCCACCCAGGAACTTTCCAGAAGCAAAAATCCACCAAAAAAAATCATGGATACTTTATGGTGGTAAGCGTATGGTGTGATTCACTGTAACTTTCTGCAACCGGTCCAAACCATCACAACGACTTCATCGAATATCGAAGGCCCAATTTCTATGAATAAGTATTCACTAATATATTACAGTTCAAAGTGGACTCATAAAAACGGACAAAACTTTTGAAACAACCTGAAAATTAGTTCAGTTGCGGTTAAGTTTACGTAAGTACTATTTCACCAATTTTGATTGAATGATAGGTAATCACCTTGGTAACCCCTGAGATCTCTCTTTCTGGCTTTCTCAGCTTTGACTCTTTGTTTTTCAGCAGCTTTCAATCCTTCTAACTTAGCAAATTCACCCAACTGCTTACTGTAGCGACCATACATCTGAAAGTATTCACATTTATATAACTAGTCACAAAATAAAATATACATGCTATAAGTTAGCATCTACTTGCTACAGCAAATATTTTTTACAATTCATCGACATTACATATTTAATGACCGTACCCTTTTTTCACTTTTTAATATTCCTTGAAATATATTTTCTGATTCGTGATAAAGAACTGAAATATTTTTTGAACACATGTTTATTCATTTATTTATTTTGGACACAATTCAATAACTGAACTGGTAGAATATTTGAACTTTACTTACAGATTGCACCATTTGGAATCGATGTTTGACTGCCAGACGGTTGTATTAGTATTCCAAATACCGTGGTTCGATTGAATTTGCCAATTATATATGAAAAATGGTAGCACAAATACCACAATATGAATGTCAATTCAAATATTTCATTTTGTATGCAATTTTATGTGACAATTATTCCGCAAATGGCGCATTTTATCCTCTTTGGTATTGGTGGAGTTGGATCCGCCAAGTGATTTCTGGGACAAAAGATCTAAAATTCTGAATAATGGAAAAATTTGGTATTTCATATAAAAACTGGAATTGTCACCAACTGACACAAGTTCAGGTCGGAAAAACATATGTTTGAGAAATTTTGAATGTTCTTTAGGTTATTGGAGAGAGATTTCTGTTGAAAAATATATTTCTCTCATTGTATAAAACTGCTTCAGAGAAAATAAATATTCATAATATTTTTTACTGAATGAATGAGAAATTACACAAAATTCACTTTCTTGTAATACAAGGTTCGGAACCGTTTGGTGTAGTAATGAATATTACTGGAGTTTTATCCCAACACCAAACCGTTATTTTCAACACCTGGACACGTGTTTCAATCACTGAGTGATCACCTACAAGGGGAAGTTTGTTTTTCCTCTTGAAGATGATCACTTTGTGATTGAAACACGTGTCGAGGTGTTGAAAATTACGGTTTGGTGTTGGGATGAACTCCAGTAATATTATTCATTGACAAAACATACAATGTGAAAACTAAAACTTCATCAAACATGATAAATAACGCAATAAATATGATATCACAGATATCAAATTCTACAATTCCATGTCGAGTACATACGAACTCAAAGAAGATTGGCCAACATGAATTCTTTCGACATGAAACTTGTGACCTTTACTGAAATTTTTGTACGCTTAACGAATATTTGACATTGTAGGAAACACATTCATTACGCTATGATAGTAATTCAATAATATCTATGCACATATTTCCTTTATGAGCGAACATTACACGATATACAAAATTATCGACTATCTAAAATATTTTCTGAAGAAGACAGTTTTAGAAAGTAAGGGAAACTTTAGAAATTCAAGTAAACACCTATACGTGTTGAAACTTTCATCCGACTTTTATTGGCGATATTGTACCAGTTTCTGTCATATCTTTTTGATATTATACTGTTATGTCGGTAGTGTATAGGTGTTATGATTGTTTTTTGTAAACTTGCTGTTATGAGTTATTGAATATTCATGAAAGTTGTGTAATCATGCTATTTCTTTGAAGATATACATTCGATAAATACGGGTTTATTGTGAATGTAGGATCTCGTGTTTGCCAAAAAGGTATTTATGGAAGAGCTTTATGAATATAAAAACTGAAAGATTCAGTTGGAAAGTAATCTTATTGTGAATACTTAAAGCTATCAGCGCCTCCAAATGCCAAAAAAACAATACAAAGAAGTAAAGCCACTGCCAGCTAGTCCACGTGGACTGAAGAATTGGCGGTTCGTATTGGATGATTTACACTAACCGAGTTTTATGATTGGCTGAAGAAGCAAACAATTAAATTTTGAAGTCATGTTATGGTGACGAATAGAATGCGAGCTGTCGTATTGTCAATGTTCAGTTCAGGAACTGATCGCGATTTGAGTGTTGAATTCGATATTGGTGCAGTTATAATTACTTAATTTTTTACCTGTTCAAAATGTGGCGTCCTTGGATAAGTACTAATAGTAATACGAGTGTGATAACAACACAGACTTTTTCCTGTGTAGTGATTCCAATAGCAATGGTGAACAATGCGAAGAAGAGATAATTTTGAGATTCAAGATTACAGAGGGCATCATTTCACCAAAAACTCCAACAATCAGAACAACCATCTTGACAGAGTTCTCTGGATAGAGTCTGCGGAGTTCGAAGAGAAAATTTCGATATTTTATCCGTTTTTCGTCCTCTTTTCGGACGATATTCGTCACGCCAGGAGCTGAAAACTCCACGACAAATATTGTCTTACTCTGGTGGTCGAGAAGGACTACATCAGGCTTATTAGCTTGAATGAGCCTGAGGATAAGAAACGAAAAGTTCCAATAAATTCATCACTTCTCGTTCCCCACAAGGGACTGAATATCCCCCGAAGCGTAGGGCAACACCGGTGTCTCAGCAATATCGTAAGAGTGCCGTAGGTGGTAATGAAGCACTCTTAGGGCCGCGTTACGTCGATGGATATAGGACGAGACTGCATATGCTGGACATGCTGACAGCAAGTGATAAGGGTCTCGGACGCCTTGCGGCAGGCTCTGCTCCTTGTGTTAGAAACCTCTACACCCATCACGCGACTGCGGAAAACTAAGGTGTTGAAAACACCATCCTGGCAGGCCATGATGAACCCCCCCCCCAGTGATTTCAGCCCACTAGATTATTATTATTATTATTATGATAAGTGAAAATATAAATCATTTCAAAATTATCTTAAAATTCATAGTTGTTATAAATAGTTGTTGAAAAGTCATAGTTGTTCATGTTATTCAGGAATTTAAATTATTAATGTTTAGAGATTATTATACAGTGTGTCCTAGCTAAAATTTGTCACCCCCTGAATTGCGAACTCGTGAAAAAAATTGAATATAGCTCAGACCCGTCGATTTTTATTTCAAGGGGGAACACTTTCACCAAATACATAATCATTGTGTTGTCAACCCCCTCATCCCCACTATTTCAGTACTTTCAATAGGACTACTATACTTGTGATACATCATTCTGAAGGGAATTCAATCCTAAATGCATCGGTGTACCGAAATTGATGATCGATCGGGTTTTGTTGAAGTTTAAATGAAAACTAAGTTTTATCAAGATATTTTTATTTTTCATCACCTAAAATGTTGATCATATTGATGTATTCGATTCACTTCATTCAACAATTTGAAAACTTACGAAAATGGTTTATTATACTATACAAGAGAGAATATCCAGTGTAGCTGCATATTTTAAAAATGGACGATATGCTAGAGCTACGGCTAAAATTCATTCAGAAAAAACCACTTTTTATCAGTACGTGATCCAATTGATGAATTAGTTAATTCATGGAACCGGGATCAGTGCTGAATGATCGAGAGAAGCCTATGAGAACTAAAGGGGTTGCTGTTGCAGTTGTAGGGCATGCAGTGATGGACAACATTCACTCTTTAAGAAAACTTTAGACTATTTCTGAAGTTTCTAAAAGCAACGTACATTCTGAAAGAAACAAAATCCCATTCTTATAAAATGCAGAATGTACAAGAATTGAATGAAGATGATCCTGAGAGACGTATAGAGTTTTGTGAAATCATGAGTCAATTATTGATTGGTCATAATAATTACCTCAACGATGAATCTTATTTTTATTCGAATGGACATGTGAACAGGTACAACTGCAGATACTGGAGTGACATAAATCCCTATTGGTATAGGGAAACTCATTCACAAACTCCCCAGAAATTGAATGTTTGGGCTGGTATTCTGGTAACATCAATGCACTCAGTTACTTGAAGACGATGAAAGTCTACTTGAAGGTCAACTCACCTTTCAACAAGATGCAGGTCAATTTTTAGATGACAATTTCCCAGGGAGAAGAATTGGTAGGCGAGGAACAATAGAATGGCCGGCTTGATCTCCTGATATATCACCACTATACTTCTTTTTATGGGGTTATTTGAAATCCAAAGTTTATATTTCACAGCTAAATTCTCTTGATGATCTACGCGGGAGAATTGTTGTGGAGCGTCGTACAGTGACTCAAAAAATGTACGAAGACATGTCGAAAATCGCTTATACATCTGTATGGAACTGAACGATTAACATTTTGAACCTTTCATATGATTATTACAATGCAGGTGATAAAAAGTAAAAATATCTTGATGAAAATTAGTTTTCATTAAAACTTTCACAACACTTGATCGATCCTCAATTTCAGTTAACCGATGTATTTAAGATTGAATTTCCTTCAAAATGATGTGTCACAAGTATAGTAGTACCATTGAAAATTATGAAGTAGGGGGTGTTGGGGATGAGGGGGTTGACAATACAATGATGATGTATTTGGTAGAAGTATTTCCCCTTGAAATAGAAATCGACGAGTCTGAGCAATTTTCAGTTTTTTTCATGAGTTCGTAGATTAGGTGGGTGACAAGTTTCAGCTGGGGCACACTGTATATATACCATTTGACGTTATTTGAAGGTTATTTTAGCTTGGAATGGTTATGTCGAGTTTGATATTCATGTATATCTACTCAACTGGGCAGAATGCTTTTGATCCCAATGATATAACAGGCAAATTCAATTATTCACAGGCATCACAAAGGTAAAATATTTAGCTCTTCCCATATAGGTGGAATATTCTTGATAGCTCCAAGTGCTAACATTTCACTTCCTGAGAATGAAACCAGAATAATGGAACTTCCATTACTCTTTCTTCGAAAACCAAAATGATCATTCTTACGAATAGATTTTACAATAATTTTGGTGCCTCCATAAACATGTCACCTATAGTTTTGGGGTCAGTTATTTCCTTCAACTCTAATCCTCATTTGGGGATTGTCATTAATTTTGTTTTCAAATTTCTGTATATGACAACTATAAAAATATTTTGTGGTTTGTACTAGATTCATATAATTGGTTTTCATTCTTCACACTTCAAAGAACATAATAAATTCATCATTACAACATAGATATGTTTATTAATTTTATGTAGCTTTAAATATTTTAATTATTAGATTTACCTGACTATTACATAAGGACATACTGTAAAATTGATTTAAGACTAGTAGATGAGGCAATTTGTGAAAATAATTTTATATAGCTTATAATATTCCAATTTTTAGATTCACCTTACTATTACATAAGGACACATTGTAAAATTTATTTAAAACTAGTAGATAAGGCAATATGTGAAATTAATTTTATATAGCTTATAATATTTCAATTATCAGATTCACTTGACTATTACATAAGGACACATTGTAAATTTAATTTAGGATAAGTAGATAAGGCAAATTGTAAAATTTATTTAAGTCACTCAAGGCGCAGGTACCTAGAACAGGTATCTATGGTATAAATAAGGATAGCTTTGTAAGTATAATTAGTTTGATCTTCTTTCTGAAGATGATCACTTGGTGATCGAAACACGTGTCGAGGTGTTAAAATAACGGTTTGGTGTTGGAAAAAAACTCCAGTAATAATCAGCAGAGTTGATTAGATGAGCAGAGTTTACATTTGTTGATGCCTAGCTGATGTATTTGATAAAAATAATATATGTTTTGGACCAAGAATACTATCCTGCGGGACTCCTATCGATGTAGCCAAGGCCTTTGATCTAACTGTTTTGTTTTTCTGGTTGAGTTGTACTATCTGATTTCTGTTTTTGAGATATGAGTTACACCAATTATAACTGTTACTTCGTAAACTGTATTTAAAAAATTTGCGCCTCGAATAAATCTAAACAAATCTCGCAGGCCAGATCTTATTTATTCTACAATTTCATTGTTAAAATGAACCAGAGCTGTTTCGATAGACCTGTTTTTCAGATATCCAAGTTAGTGCTTTTAAAACATGTTGAACTTCTTTAGCCAAAAACATTTTGATATACAGGTCAGTAAATTAATAGGTCAAAAGTTGAACTGACTCGTTTCTTTTTTTATGTTCATTTGGAAAAACACCCTCCTCAAAAGAAGACAGGAGTAAAGGTAATCGCATTGCCGACTCTTTAGCCAAGAAAGCGGCTAAAACAATCACAGTTTCATGTGCAGATTTTTTTATTATATGGATTGGTACTTCTTCAATACCCGTGCTTTTCTTGTTTTTCATATGATTTACTATTGAGAGCAGCTCACATTCTGTTATAGGGTTGAAAAAACAGGTGTGAGTGGAATTCTATTGGTCTTCCAAATGCACTTACCATACCTTTATTTTTCTAAATTGTCATGGGCCGCATTTATAAAGTGTTCGTTGAAGCGATTTGCAACCTCGTGCGGATTGTCGGTTTTAAACCTACTAAACTCAATTCCAAGTTTCATATTTTGGAGCATCAATTTTTCATTCACTTCTGAGTATTAACTGACAAAAGAAATTCAAACTAGTAGTAATAATTACACCGTATGAATTGTTTTGTGATATCAATATTTCATATAATCATTGATATTTTCAACTCGCAATGAACGTAATTTCTATGAAGAATACTGAAATTGAATATTATGTTTTTCAAAAGTAAGCTGTGAAACTCTCAAAATCTTGAAGAGTTATTTCGGAAAAAATACGCAGAATAATATTTTAAAATTGCAATTTGGGTATGTGATTTTCCTTCTACGATCTTCAAAGGTAGGCAACAATTTTCGAATGTTCTGTAACATTACACAACAGTAAACCACTTTGTTATTACAACCACTTAGTTCGATTTGTTTATATATAAATAGTTTGATAGTGTTACATAATATATGAAATAAAAATGTTAAAATGAACATACCAAGTTTCCTGGAGTCACTGTATGATAATTTTTATAATAAGTATATTGTGGAGACATATTCACCATTCATTATGATACATTTCTCTACGAGAGTTGTTTACTTCGATTATACAAATATAACAAAAAATCGTTAGTGAAAAATTATTTCGAAACACTGATAACGAGAAGACTTCTGTTTTGTTAAGGCGATTATATTATTCGCGTCATTGCATTTTTGAGCGATTAGTTTACACTTCGTCACTTAAAAATAGCTTTATTGTTTAAAGAGGAGATATCAAATGACATTTCGGGAGTTACTCACAAAAGGTAAAGTGTGGCACGTGTCTCTGGGTAATTTGATTTTGTAAGCATGGTGTGGTCAAGTACATACAAGGATATTGGATACATTGTAAATCCCTCGTTTTCTCATATCATTTATTGTGACGTTGTGCATGAACCTTGTATTTCAAATTATAAAAATAAATGATTGCAGCACTTCTATATCCATACTAATATAAATGTGAAAGTTTGAAAGGATGGATAAATGTATGTATGTATGTTTGTAGCTCTTTCACGCCTAAACGGCTGAACGGATTTAGATGAAACTTCACATAAATACAGCTTATACATCAGCATAACATATAGGCTACAATTTGCAGAGGTTTTGTGTAATTTTGGTCATAATATAACAATAAGTATTAAGTAAGTCAAAAAAATTCTTGCTCCCTAAGAGCTATCTTGGCGTGCGCTGGCTATACCGTTGGAGTTACATGAAGGTAATGTACGTAAGATTGTTTATCTTAAACAGTTCTAAATGAAAGTTCGCGATAGCATATACCTACCTCTCATGTGGTAGCCACTATATGCAAAATACTGAGCCATTGGATACTTTTTTATAATGCACATTATAACACATTATAACTTTCAAATTCTTATAAAAATTGATACAATTGTTGTTTTAAGTATTTGATATAGATAAACTTTGTCTTCTACTCTAAGTAATTTGGACAAATCGTTCAAAAGTTATCACGACAAGATTAACTTGACGCAACGCAGTAAGCCATTACGCGTCGCATTCACTGTAAGACGACGGTGACGATGCGCGGGGGTTGAGGGGCGATCTGAGCAATGAAGCGCCATTGCCGAGAAGACGACCCGAACGCGGGCAGACGCGTGAGGGCAGACTTTGTTGACGGTTGTGTTAGTTTTGCGAATTTTTTTATAGGTAACATAAGTTCATTATCGAAGCTATTCATTACTTAGTGCAGTTGACATATTTTTGTAGTAACTGTATTTTAAAAGTAATAATATAAATTACTAGTTGTTGCCCGCTCTTATATTAACGTACAGCAAAAGCTTCTGATCCTATAATCTTGAAATGCTTATTATTATGCTATACTGAGAACCTACCTACATATTTCAAGATTCTAGGTTTAGTAGATTCGGATGTACGTTAACATAAGAGTGTCGAATCTTGAAATGCTTATTATTATGCTATACTGAGAACCTACCTACATATTTCAAGATTCTAGGTTCAGTAGATTCGGATGTACGTTAACATAAGAGTGTCAATACAGCTGTTTCCCGCTGTTTTACCCGCGTTACCGTGGAAACCTACCCTATGTGTTAATCCAGGTCATGACCTATCTATATACCAACTCACATTTGAATCCGTTGAGCTGTTTAGGCGTGAAACAGTAAAAAACGTAAATACATACATTACATTCATCCATCCTCATAAACTTTACGCATTTAACATATTAGCAGGAGTAGGATTAGTAGGATTATCAATGTATTTCATTCTGATACTTTCAGTTTTTTTGGCTGATGCTATTCAATATTGTATGAGTGTTTACCTATTGGTTGACTGACATTCTTATATTAACGTCACGACGAATCAAATTCTACGCCGGCGAAGCCACAGCCAACAACTAGTACAAAATAATTGTGTCATATTGCATGTGTCTGCAAAATATGAATTGTACTAGTTCCCAGTAGAATTGAATTTGAATAAGCACGAGATATGCACCAAGTGTTATCAGTACTCAGCTACACTGTGTCTCAAATATCTTTCATATTTATGCCATTAGAATGTGAAGTTTTCGCTTGTTCTTATCTTATTCTGTCTTTGAACAGACAGAACAGAATATATTTTATATATACAGTTCACGTTCGAAAAAGCCAATAAACAGAAACAAATATTTAGATTGTTTATAGCTGTATTGTAGCTTACGAGACTGAAAACTATAACTTACAAGGGTTTGAATGTAATCTTCTACATCTTCAGGTGGCGGACAAGGATAAAATCCTTGGGAACTACTTCTTTTTTGTTCCCTCAATTTTGCAAAATCTTCCCACTCTCGGTCCATCTCATCCAGATTCTCCTCACCAAAATATTCCTCTGTGGCCATTTTTTCCTTTTTTTTAAAATTATTTATGATAAAAAATCTGAAAAAACATAATTTTCATAACTATTGATGCTGTTTTTGCGTATATGATTATCAGCTACGTGACTTTTCGTTTTTTATTATTTTGGATTATTATGTATTTCACACTCATATATATAATGACCATACACACACAGACACACACGCATACGCACACGCGCGCTCGCACAACCGCACTCTCGCACGCCACACAGAATTATTCTCAAATTAAAGTAACTCCGTCACATAGATAAATGTAACCAGCGCACCATCTTAAATTCAAATCGTTAAAATCAATTATCTGTAAATACTCCTAATGATACACAGTACTGTTGCATTCCTCTTCCACGATTGAACAAAAATTAGATACATTAATTTATTCTCTATGAAAGAAAAACTGACTTACAAAAAAAGAAAGCAAGCAGTATTAAATTCTCAATATTACTATTAATAATTCTAAAATAGAAATAATGAAATTATAAAACAACAACAAAAATTAATTTGCGCTTCGGGGCGACTTCATTGATTCCAGTGGCGCATTTGCTTTTTCAGCTGCAGGAAAACCCGGAAAAAGCTGCAGCACCACAACATCTCAATATCCTCTCTCTCATAAAACAAAATGTAAGGTGTCTCCAGAGGCTAAATTCAATGCATCGCCAGAACACTTAGTGACACGACTATCGTCAAACTTAAACCAGTCCATTTCGTTTTTGACCATGGCGGAATAAAGACCAGATACAACGCCAGAACCATAGTGAACAATGACTGCATGAAGATTATAATAATGGTCTGCTAGATTGAAGTGTTCATCTATTTCGAACCTTAGTGAGAGTTTGGTGCTTCCGCCTGAGGTTGAGTCATATTTGAAGATCATCAGTGTTATTATTAGATTGACTGGTGCCTCAGCTATACTTTTTTCTTATAACAGTCAGTTAGTTTGTCGCATATTTGACAATACAGTCGACCATCACCTGTTAAAAGTTTCATTTTCAGATGATTTAACAATAAGTTTTGCACGGACTGGTTATTAGTCATGCTAGGAAACGCTAGTTGAAGTTCCAGAAATTCACATACGTTATTGCTACCTGTTGAACATTTACTACAAAGTAAACAAGTGATGATTTTTCCAGCAAAAGATTTACAAACACGAGACGAGATAGACTGTACGGAAGCCATCAATCCAGAGCGGTCAGGAGTATTGATTCTGCATTGTTTTGCTCACGAAGAGTATTCAACAAGAACCCCAAGAATTCGGAACAATCCTCTTGTTATCCTAACGAGTATCTAGTAGAATTCAAAGACTCCAGAAAATTGGTTGGAGGGAAAGATGATACACTCTTAGGAAACTGCAGCTCAGCTGCATGAACAGGTGTTTGAGTTTGGTGAATAGGTAGGAAACATTCTCGTTCTCGTGCATCGTTCTTGAAATTCTCCATCATGAACAACACTTGTAAAATGCTGCTATTCATGTAGCAAGTGTTTCCTAAATTATCTAGATTTTCAGGACAACCCTCTACTGAGAGTTGACTGAATGCTTTACCTGGAACACTTGGACGACTTTACTTGGAACACTATTAGACGGCGAATCTTTCAGAATAGCATCAGGACTTAGGATGGGTTTATCTATTTGTGTGCCTCATACTTCTGTCTGCGGTATTATAGTTGATGAGGAAGGTACATATGGTTTGAGTTGCAGGAGAAGTGCAGGGCATACATCTCGATATCGCCAGGTGAACCACATATTGAATCGAGCTAGGTACCAGTTGAGATGATGGTAAACGACCATATGGTATGTCTCTCATACCATGGAAATACGGTAAACCTGTTGTATGGGACTTCACTTGCATTGACACGGTCGCGGTTTCCCATCTAGTAGAAAGTTTGAAGTCTGCTGGAACCGCAGCATTGTCTGGAGAAAAATAAAAAAAAATACCAAAATCTTTGTATTAACTATCTGTTCCATCAAGTAGCGGTTGAAACTTTTGGTGTTTATGGCCCGGAGTCTCTTTTATTCGTTCATGAACTCGGAAGGAGAATAGGCCAAGTAACGAAAGATCACCGTTCTACCTCTTTTTTGATAGAAATAATTAGTATTGCTATTCAACGTGGTAATACCACATAATTTTGATGAAATCATGCATTGTCCTCATTTCAGTACGTAACTAAAATCTCTTCGAAACAAGCCGAGATATGTGGATATTCATCAGTCTCCTATCAAGGTTAATTCGCAAGTGATTGATCCACCTTCTTCTTTTTCAGTGTGGTCAATGGACTTAGGTCATTCTTGTCCCCGCCAAATACGAGTTGCAGTCCTCGTTGTTCTGGTTCCTTTTTAGTGGAAGAGCTTCATGAATCAAGAGCCGAATCGATCCCTCTACGAAACCCTTTATCACTTGGAAGGATCGAGTGCAGCTTGAGAAATGGTTCTTATGCCGATTCTGTGAAACATGTTCTTCCTTATATACGAATCAGTAGAAAGTTGTCCTGGAAATATTGAGAAGAAAATTGGATTAGATAATTTAGAAAACACTTGCTACATGAATAGCATTTCACAAGTGTTGTTCATGACGAGGAATTTCAAGAATGAGGTTTTAATGATAAACGAGAACGAGAATGTTTCCTTCCTATTCACCAAACTCAAACACCTGTTCATGCAGCTGCAGTTTCGGAAGATTGTATCACCTTTCCCTCCAACCGATTTCCTGGAGCCTTTGAAGTCAACTAGATACTCGTTAGAACAACAAGAGGATTGTTCCGAATTCTTCGGGATCTTGTTGATTATTCTTCGTGAGCAAAACAATAGCGGAATCAATACTCCTGACCACTCTGGATTGAATGCTTCCGTACAGTTTAGCTCGTCTTGTGTTTGTAAATCTTTTGCTGGAAAAATCCTTACTTGTTTACTTTGTACTAAATGTTCAAGAAGTGGCAAAAACGTATGTGAATTTCTGGAACTTCAACTAATATTTTGTAAACTTTATTATCGAACAAAAAAAATTATGTGTGTCTACGAGATAACCAAAAATTTCCGGTTTCATTCTGATATTCAGTGAAAAAAAGAAAGCATACCATTGAATATTAGGTTAGATTAGGTTAGGTCCAAAGTGAGTGGGTCTATTCGACGCTCCACTGCAACTCGCAAGGGTTTATTGTGGCTCACACTTATTCACACTCGACCAAATAAATCCAGCTTCTTAACAAAGCTGATTAGTTTGTATTGTGAGTGGTCGTTCAGGTCAAATGGTGAGAGTACGGGTCTGCCGAAATCTAAAAACCTGATTCGGTCCCCGGCGGGGCAGGCACAAAGTATGTGCTCTGCTGTTTCATCATTTTCCAAACAGAGGCGTAACACACTGTCTTCCAACAGTCCGACATATTATGATGATATTGGTTCAATCATTTATATTTTTATTCTACATTGTACTCATTCATGTTATCTGAATTATTTGATGCTTTTTTTAGTAAATTTACATGTGTCACTAAATACAATAAATAGTGGTCGTTATGACGAAACAAAACATATTACTAATAGGGATGGACAATTTACTAGTCTTTTGAATATGTAGTTGACAGCGAACTTTACACAGTCATCATAAAGTCTCATTGGGAATATTTTCTAGACCATTTCTTCTGTAGCTAGACGTTTGTTTCAACTCTGATGATTCAGAACATGTCATTGAGATTATTCGATAAGCCATGACGCCTGTATTTAATATAATAAAACGACTTTCTGGAGACCAATTTTAATCTGTTTCCGTTTTCAGGACATAAAAAAATTCTTGCTGCTGACTGGTTCTTGAAAACTTCTCATCAGCCAAACGGGGAGAAGGTTTTCCTAAAGAATAAAATAACATTGAAGTAGTTTTTTGAATATGAAGACCAGTTCAACATTAGTAAACCCTCTTTTTGGCAGAGGTGGTAATATAGCTAAGGGAGTTCTGACTCATTCCTTATGGAAAAACACGGGCAAATTTGAGCAGATCTATTCTGGTGTCGAGGCTAAGGACAAAGTCTACCACGCCGACGACCTGGGTTCAATTCTTATACTGACTGTCTTTTTTAATTTAATTTTCCTCAGCTACCGATATCCACTGGGAGTCAGGGGTGAAGCCCTAAGGTAGCCCGAGGGGTGAGGCGGTGTTCCAAGGGGGCGCAAGTCCACGCTCTTATCTTTGAGTCTCTTCGATACCCATTCCATCCTTCTCTGTATCGATTACGTCACACGTCTCTCTCTCACTCACTAAAGTCTCTCTCTGAAACACTTACAAACGAATCGCGACTCTGAAGTGAGCCAGGAACAATCTTCTTCATCTACTGATTTGAATTTCCCACTGTACGCGGGGTAGCTTCTGATTGGTCAACTGGATGACGGCAAAAGTGAAGGAGTGGGGACGACTACGTTTCTCTTTCCCACTCACTGAAACACTTATCAACGACGCGTGACCTTGAAGTGGGCTTTGAAGGTCGACGGTCGTAAAATCGTCAGAGTGGACCTGCTCAAATTCACACGTGTTTTTCCATAAGGAATGAGCCAGAATTCCCCTAGCTATATTACTAAAGGGACTTGAGTTCAACCACAACTATGACGTATTACATTCGGAAAAAAAGTTTTGAAACTCAAAGCTTGGAATTTAATAAATTAAGGAATTCGGAAAACTTTCTAAATGACCAAATAGAATTGAAATGTCCCATTCTGTTTAATCTGTTTTCTAATGTGCAAATTGGTATTTAGTTTATCATATATCCATTTGATAAGTTGGTAAAATGTTTCAATGATGTGCAAATTTTCAACTAGCTCATTAAGTAGGTAGAAGGTCCTATGATTCAAATTGTTGTATAATTTGAAGCACTAATTAGGTTGAATTTAGTCAGTATGAAAACGCCTGAGAATGCTATTGTGAAACGCAACACGTGTTGCGGTTTTGTAAACTGATTTGTAAAAATCTTTTAAATAATCTGTTATAGATTTTCATTAAGTATCAGCCACTTCCATCATATAACAAAAAGCTATATTTCCTCGGACATGCGACTATGAAATGATAGAGTTAGAGGTTAACCACCCAAAATAAAGTAAGAAATATTAACTCTGCATATTATACTCTTTACTCATTACTTTGATGTTTGAAATAAGATGATAATTTGAAAACGCATTAATTTCAGTTCAGCCAAGTTGAATTACCCCAAAAAATTACAAATAAGGATATTTTGAAAAGTATTTCAATTCAGCTGGATCTAATCTGATAAATTTGTCATTTAGCCCTCTATTTTATGAAAGTGGATGATGGAATGCATAACCAAGTATGATAATATTGACTGTAAGTTCATTATGATAATTGAAGAATGGTGCCTACCGATTTCAAATGATTTATTTGAAGGGAGATAATATACTTGCTTGTGGAAAGTTTCCTAATACCCTCTGTGATTTCATCTAATCAAGTACCTAAAAGAGTAAATAATAGTCGTAAAATAATAAGTAGAATTCCATGCTCAACTGTAATGACTACACATTCTGTAATTCTGAGTAGCCTTTTGATTCTTTGAAGTTTTTTAATTGTGAATTATGTGTCCATTAAACTTCCTTTTCAGTAACCCAAATACAACAAAGTGTTTCCTCATTAGTTTCAATCTTTTTGTTCTTAAATGCAACTTAAAATGCATGCAAGCTAACCTTCATATTAATTAAAGAATGCACTGTAACAAAAACTAAACATTTCGTACTTTTCATTACAATAATTTCGCTTACCGAACTTGATACTGAGTAGTTTCGCGTCCAATCTAAAGATTTGCGTTAAATCTTTCTCCGATCAAAGACAAACTTTGAGACGATTTTTATTTTCGGTATCTTCATGACATGATGATTGGTAACAGTAGCGGATGTCTTGGATTGTATTTAACGAAACGTAATCTTTCAATTGTCTTGAAATTATTCAATTTAACAAGACGGACAGATGTGTCATTCATATGTTCCTGGAAGTAACAATTATTTTTGAGATTGTACTAGCTTTTCGGTACAGATGGGGCACTAGCAGGATAATCACTGCATGATTCAATTTCACCATATAGGGTGATGAGAGGATGACTGTGAGAGTACAATATTTTGTAGATAAACAATGTGGAATTTTTAAGAATTATGAAACAACATTAATAAATGTGATTTTTGGTGCTCTTATTCGAGTTGAGGATTTTATGTACTATGCATAATTCTAAAAATTTTGAAAAACTAGACAATAGAGTAGTTTTTTTTATGAGTTCAAATAGTAATTTCGGTGGATTGAAACAAGAATATGAAAGTTTTAAAATTTCTAAGTTGTGATCTCCTCTGTTGTAATGGATAGATATCATTCATTATTTATTAGCCATTAGTTATAGTGTAGGTTTACTGATTGCGAAAAGATAGCTAAGCTATCTTTTCTTATCTTATGCTTGCAATCTTAGCTATGAAATTGATTTGTTAAATTACGTGTATACCTTTGTTTGATTGAAAGTGTAAATAATTATTACATCCTACAGAACCCAGAAACCTAAACGTTCAGAGTTGTGATGCAGTGTCTAATGATATATTTTTGACTCTATACGATTACTATTGGTACTATCTATATCATCTCAATTTTTTTATAATTGATTAAAGAACTATAACTTTTATGAACTGATACTTAAAGTCTAATAAATAAATGAAAACTAGCTATAGTGTTGTGCACAATTGTGTTATACTCAGCTATACGAAAATGTGGCGACACACATTTGATAAAGATGAGAACTTTTTCTCGCAACTTGCAACTTTAAAAATGTATTTGTATAAATATATGTATGTGTATGTGTATATTTGTATATTCATAACATTATGAAACATCCGTAATCAGAAGTTTGGCTAGGATAATTTATCAGATGGTTAACACAAAAGAGAAAAAATAAGAGTGTATCTACGTAATTCTTATGCTATAAGTCAGCCCTCTATGTTAGGCTATACTTTTAGTAGATAGAGAATACCTTGAATTATTTCGATGATTAGATTTTCATCCTTTCCCGTAGGCTAGTGGAAACGTTGAAAAACTGTTAATTCTCAATAATGCGAAATGTATGTGTAATAGAAATGAAATTCAAACTATGAAATTCCACTGATTAGATTTTTTCAATTGATACTGAACTTTTGTGGTGGAATAGTGTTTTTTTATTTTCTCTGGAATTGAATTATGTATAATTATCCCATAGTGATATATCCATTTTTTTCAAAATTTGTATCTTGATTTTTGACAGTAATTTGGTTCGTCTTGTGGCATGATTGTGAATATGTCCAATTCAANAGTTTGTGAAATTAATATGGATCTTCATCAAGTGACGGCCGAATCAATCAGAAAAAAAATTGTATTTCAATTTTTCTATATATAAGACAAGAGAAAACATTTCTTATTTTTGTCAGTTTCCGTATTGAGCTCTTTCTTCATAATAGAAGGTAATTGTTTTCAACATGCTTCAAAAGCGTTGTATGTGTCAATTTCTCCAAGATTTTTGCAAAAATTAGAAGTATATAATTTGGTCGATAAATAATTGTTTGAATCATTTCTTTTCCCACTTTTATATATGGGCGAAACCTTCGCGATACTTCAGTTTTGACTGTTTTTACATTTTTATAGAGATTTCGTCAAATCTACATGCTTTGTTATGATTGAGTTGATCAATAATATCCTCTTTCAGATATACAAATCGGTTCCAGAAACATAGATGAAACAATTGAAAAGTAATTAGACCTTTTTGTTATATTAGGGGAAGTAAATGATAATTTATTACCAATTGTAATGAAATGATGATTGACTGCTTCACAAATTTCATGCGGATCATCAATATTTATATTGTTCAGATTTAAACTTATGATTTTTCCATTCTTATTAGTTGCATTATTCAGTGAATAACACAACACAACAAAGTTTTTGTTTCGGGGTTGAAATTAGATGATTTTAATGTATTTCCACGTGTTAAAACCGAAAGTGACCATAAAAATTATATATTAGATNGTGATAACTTCTTATGGGAGGCTAAACTTTGGTAAAATTTATATTTTTTATTTCGAATAGTTTTTTTTAATAATTTATTAAAAATTCTATGCAATTTTTTTTAATCAGGGAATTTCTTTTTATTAATGAAATATTTATTATATTTTTTAACCCCAACTTAGAATTTTTCTTACGACCGTATTTTTGTAAAGAAGAACATAAATCAAAAGTCCCTATTAACTGTTCATAAGCATCATTGAGATTTGGATGAAGGTGAATTGTATTCCCAAGGTCTGTCAATTTTTGATTGAGAATTTGATAGTTAAATGTTTTAATTTTAATAAAATCGGTAGGAGATTCATCGAATTTATGTTATATATTCATACAGGAGACACACGTTTTATGACCACTCAGTGAAATATGTGAAATAGGGAGAGTATTTCTTTTAAATTGTTGATAAAATAATCGATAAGTGTGGAGCTTCTATTTCTTTCTCTAGTCGGAATGTTACTATTGACTTGAAATACATTAATGGATTCATAGATACCCATTAACCAATTCGTGTTACTATTCTACTCTGTTTCGCTAGCACAGTAGCTTTGTCAAGTGTCACTTGAAACAGTTGTGATATATTTTTCAAATAAAGTTTGTGGAGATCATATCGTGAGGTGTAGTTTTTGAAATTAATATGGATCTTCATCAAGTGACGGCCGAATCAATCAGAAAAAAAATTGTATTTCAATTTTTCTATATATACTTGTTGCACTGTTCTTGATAGAATACTGTTTTTTTGTTTTTCTCTTTTTCTTTTGTTTTTACGATGATTTATCATGCGCAGATATTGAATCCTGCCATTTTATTGGTTGTAATTGAATGGTACTATCAATAAAAGCCATTATTATTATTATTATATGTTTTTTCAATGTCGTTCATGAAGTTTCGTCTTTGATTAATAGAATTCAGTATCTATCGATCAACAACAATTTAACTTTCAAATTCAGTATATTTTTTATTATAATTAATTATTTTCTAATGTCAATATTTAAAACTCAGTTAGAATTAACGTCACTACCCTATCTTTTCCAAAGTCCGTAAAAAGAGGGCTCAGGAAAGTCGAAAAGGAATTTGGCACTCACAGTTTGCTAATTGTAGTCTCCTGGTTCTTTTTCCGATCCTTTCTCTGCAGAGAGCTCCTTGCATCCCTTCGATCCTGCTGAATGAGTTAAAATTTCATAGTCACGAAAACGATTTCTGGCACAATGCAAATGTTCTTTTTCACGACCGCGAAAAACTTACCGACTGCGCCAATTATGTGGGTACTAGAAATCAAAAACTTAATTGAAAAAAAAAGAAAATCAACTTCACTTAAGACTCAAGAAAGCATTTATTCTCTTCGAGAGGAGTACAAAGAATGGATATTTATTAAGACAATAATTATAAGATCCGAAATATAATGAGTTTCCAAAGTCTCGGGCTCCTGTAGATAAGGCACGTTTCCTGATAGCCGGTACCATGTAAATTGCGCTACTAATTACATTTTTGGTATGAAACAAGCGAGGGAGTACCGTTTTTGTCGTTTGTCGATATATGCCTTGTACGATAGCAATGTTGTGAACCTTCTTCAATTATTTTTATACCATAGCTCGGCTACAGAACCTAGCGGCATGTTTGACTCTCTTAGGTACCTAATCCAGAATTGTTTCAGATATCTAATGGTTTCAAAGTACAACAATGGACACCAGATTACTGTTGAGTGCAGTTATTTGTATGATGTATCTGTATTAATATTTACGTGTTGTGTTCGTTGTTTGGATAATTTAAAGCACCCGACAGTTTTGCGTGTTGCTGAATTTGATGGTTAGGCATGTGTTTGGAAACTTTTTTCCACCTGTCATATCTTTTATTATGGAAAGTATATAAATCCTAATGGGTCAAGTACTACCTGGTGACATGAAGAATAGTATGTGCTCGAGCTCAATCGACCTTTCATATCTTAATTGAGAGTATACCATAAAAATAGTTTCATAAAACTACAATAAAATGAGTACTGCCTCTTTTACTTTTTAAAATATACGAACTGACCAATATTGCAGATACCGACAGTGATTCAAATCCACAGGCACAGCTCTGAGAGCGCCTCAATTATTTTCTTGTAGTGCTTGTGTTTTGTTCTTTCAAAAACAAATTGTGTTTGCAGAAAAGGCGTTCTTTCAACATGAGTGTTACTTTGCCTGCCTCAGAAAATTTCTTATGGCTTCTGACATCAGTGGAAATATTCATAATTTCACCAAGATTATGATTTTCAACTAAATAATCAGTATATTTCCGTTTATTGAATAAAAGTGGTCGGTTGGTAAAAAACAACTTGGTAGTTTTACTAGTAATACTACTTTAAAGGTCAGTTCAAACTTAAAACGGCAGGTAGATTCAGAAACAAAAACCAATTGTATTTACCTATCGAGACATTCAGTTGAAATATCTTTTAAATAGTGAACCAGTTTAGAAAACAATGATAGTTTCATTATCTAGATCCTATTAAAAATATACAGAAAAGTAATACGCTGTTATTTCAGTTTTCTTATTAGATATAATTACTAGCAAAAATGGACCAATTTATTAGAGATGTTAATCATACTCCCATAAATACAATCGAATATAATTCAATATCTGATCTGAATGAACACTTTAGAAATAATGAGAATACAATTCATTGAACATATTTCATCAAAATATAAGAAGCGTTTATAAAAATATAGATGAACTGAAAATCTATTTGAAACAATTAAAATATCAATATGATATTCTTATTTTAACAGACCAATATGTAATGGAATACAGTGAGGGAAATATAAATAAAAATGATGAGGTGATAATTTATATAGACAACTGGCTAGAATATAATAATGAAACAGTTTCTTTTGGGCCATGTGAATGCATCCAAACAATTCTCAATCTTGGAAATAACACGAAAATTCTAATCACTTCCATATATAGACCACCATCCACCAACGCAGATGAATATGTTGAAAACTTAAAAGACTATCTAGAAAAAACGAAGCGAACATTATTATACGAAACACATAATAATTGGAGATATTAATATTGATATTAATGATGACTGAATTATTCTCGAATTATCTGGATTTGATGGCAGAATATAATTTCGTTTCTTTAATAAACAAAGACACACGTACCCAAAGTAGATCTTCCAGCTATATAGATCACATGTTCTTAAGTATTACAAAAATAAGAGTCGAAGTAGTTCAATAATGTTTGATAATAACATAATAGATCACAAAGCAATAATCGCAAAGATTCCTGCAAAAAAATCATTCTAAATGTGAATAGAGAACACGTCAATAAAAACGTAAACAATGAGAGCTTGAAATGAAGTATTCGAAATTTTGATTGGAGTTTCTATTACAATATTGAAAATATAGAACATAAAATAAAATATTTTATAGAAACAATCAACTCTCTAATTGACAAAAACACAACTGTTACAAAACAAAACAGAAATTTAATTGAACGTAAGCAGTGGATAACCAAAGGGTTAGTGAATTCTATACAAAAAAGAAACAGGCTATATTTCGAGCACATAATAGATCCTGAAAATCAAACAAAAAGAGAAATTTATTTAAACTATCCAAAAATAACAGAAAAACTAATAAAAACAGCAAAAGTTAACTTTTACAAGAAACAAATAAGTAGAAATAAAAATAACCCTAAAAACTTATGAAATGTTTTGAATGAATTGAGTACGGTGGAAAAAACACATATCATTAAAGAAATACTCACCTATGACGGAGAAATAGTAAAAATGCTGCTTTCGTTAAGTAAACATATTTATTCAAACATAAAAATATATTTAAGAATAATACAATCTATCACATGTTGGAGAAATTACTAAATGTTGTAAACTGCTTGAAAAATAACAATTAACAATTCAATGAAACATTTTTCATTTATATGGGGAAATCATGTTCATTTACTTTTTGAAGAAAAGTCTCCAAATAATGAACGTCTTTAATGGCTGTTGATCCGAGTTTCATTCATATAATTCATAAATATTAATTAGATATTTTGAATAAAATGAAAGACGATCTTATATCATCTCATATTTATATCTTATCAATTGTTTTCTTATTGAGAACTACTACTACTGAAACTTTTTGTTATTCTATGAAAAAAGCCTCACAAAGCCGGAAAGTTGATGGTACTTGTTAGAATATGTTTTTTTTTCGATTGAATAATTCATTAGATTTCGAACTTCGAATTCTTTTTGCAATGATTCAATCCTGATCCAATCTAATTGAATATTGCAAATGAAAGATTTGACCCAGAAGTCAGAATTTCTGATGGAAATGAAACTCCGAATTCCATTGTTGCAGATAAATTTCCAAAAGAGTACAACTTGGACAACACTTTTCTAACGCACGATTCTTCATTCAAGTTGGTAAAATTGAGAAATGATTTTAAATTGACGCTCTGAGAATGATATTTTCACGGTTTTGTTGTTTGGGAAAATTAGTTGTATCAGATGAACTCTACGGAAAAGGTTTCAGGTCCACGTATTAATGAAATTACGGAGTTGAAATCATTTAAATTGAATTGAAACGTCAGATAAAAAGTTGTCAAATGGAAGTAGATGTATATAATATTATCAATACGCTATTTCCAGATGAACCCATGAAATTCAATTATACTCATGTAATGTAATGTATATCAGTCGTACACTAACCTCTGAATGTGTTTCTGTTGTGATTTCACTGATAAGTGTTTGCGTGTGGAAATGAGATACCGCATTCAGGCTAATAAAAAAAAACTAATGGTGAATGAAGATGATTCGAAGGATGCAAACACTAAACCTGGATATATATAAGATATTCAACACAATTTCTGAATATGAATAAAAAATACAAAAATACACCGAACAAAGAGAAACGGAATGCTTTTTTACGTATTGGGAAGACCTATAATTTGTCAAGTATTATTAAAAACCAAATAGGTGGATACGTTTTGCTTTTATTTTTACTACTTGCTCTCATGACTTTGGTATTTTTTTCTGCCTGAAATATATGCATATTATAGAGAATTTTAAGAATGAGATTTTGACAAATAAATTCAAAAATATACGTAAGTATAAGCTGAACGCAGATTTTGATAATTAAAAATCACTTTTTCATCTGATGCATACGTGAAAAACTACAGGTCAGTTACGAAAGACCATAATGATATAAAACAGTTGTGACAGTAAAATCAATTGAAGCGTTCATTCACCCCCAGTTTTTTATGCGAACCAAACATCTATGTAGGAGAACTCTTTCTTTGAGAATTGATTGAAGCAAAAGGTAATTTAGGTTATCCACACGTGTTAGTTAATAATCCTAGTAAGCACATTTATAGTCAACCAATGTTATTCACATAAAATATGTCTCAAATGGACCGTTACTTGTCTACAATGTAACGAATTATTTTCGACGTTCTACTTTTTTCTTTCTAAAGTGTTGAATGTAAGGAATCCAAACGAAGAAAAATATTCATTTTTTAAAGTTCCTCCTAAAGTTTCCAAAAATTTTGATTTCTGGAATATTTTATATACTTTAAAATTACTATGAAAACTGGGAGTATGATTTGACAACAAACAAAAATGCGGTCTACGAAACAACCATTTTTGCAATGAATTGCTTGCATCAATTTGAATTGACATTTTTTACCGAAGGAAAATTTTCCAAAAATTGGAACGAACATTTTGTATATCCTTTCGTTTATAATTTTTAGTAACTGATATTCATCATATATGATGACCAAAGTTTCTGAACTATTTTTCTGAAAAATCATAAACTGTGTATTTTTTGTTAGTTTTTTTAACATTTTGTATATCCTTTCGTTTATAATTTTTAGTAACTGATATTCATCATATATGATGACCAAAGTTTTTGAACTATTTTTCTGAAAAATCATAAACTGTGTATTTTTTGTTAGTTTTTTTACGATTTCGAACATAGACAAACTTTCATTGGGGTTTTTCAGGATTTCATAAATTTTTAGTGAAGGTGATTTGAAATTTAACTTTCCTTTTTTGTACCTTATATATATCCCAAGCTTTTCAGATGTGTGTATCTTGTTATGAGTTACTCGAATTTGGCTTTTAGAGGAGATCATAAAAATAATATTCAGTGCAGTATCTGTTGTATTCATGTCTGGGATGACTTGATCTTCAAACTATAGAAAATGTTTGTATTTGTTCATTGAGCAAAAACTTAATATCACAACGCAAACCTACAACTAAACCTCTGAATCATTCATTAGTTTGGTGGCGGCATCAGGTTCGTCCTCTTTAGAATCTTTCACATTATTCACCGAGAGATCATCGGCGTTTTCGGGTACGTGTGAAGGAAGGTTTCCACTATTTGCATCTTCGATGGCTTTTCTCAGCTCTTTCAAGCCGACTACCCCCACGAGTTTGCCTATGGCAGTGACATAGGCATGGTTCACACCAACCATGGAAAATAACGAGTGGACTTTCAGGAGAGATGTTCTTTCTACCAGTTGAAACGGTGCTGGGTCGATGTGACACATAAACTCCACCTGCAGAGACATTTGTTCATCCTCCCATTTTTTTTGGTCTTCTATACTCATGTCGCAAACACGTTCTTTTGGCTACAAAAAAGCTAGAGTTGATTTAAAGTACGATCCTGTTGTTCAAGATTATATTACAAACGAAAAATAATGCTATCGAATTTCAATTTCTCCAGATATCCTAGTTGAGTTGGGATAAAACCTATTAACTTTATTGTTGCATAAGATGAAAATGTTTGAATTTTAAGCTTTGACTTTTAAGTTTCAGAAAAAAAAAGTAAGGACAATGAAAAACACACCAAAAAAATTAAGGCAATAAAACAAGAATTTGAACAAAAAAATTATCGATTTTTGCCTAATATAGTAACAACGAAAAAATATACCAAGGAGAACAATTGAGATTGCTTCAATATTTAGAGAAGCAGTAAGATGAATTTATTATAAGAGAAATATGTTGTCGACAAATTACAGCAACCAAAGCTAACGATTGGTTGGAAGAGAATATGGCTAGAGTTTCTTCATTGCGAACTCAAGATTCGAAATCCTAGAGAATATATCGGAAAATCGTGAAAACGGATACCAATGAACTGTGGAAGCTTCAGTTATGCAATATGAACAATATAATATGTGGAACAAGTTGACTAAAGCCTTCTTTGGAGTACACCATTCATCGATGATCTAAACGACACCGAAATATAGTAAATCCTCAGGTTAGTTAAGCATCTGTCGAACGTTATTTGATGGATATTTTAGAATACGAGGCTGTAGAATTCTTTCGGAAATAATAAAAATGAAGTTGACAGCAATTATTTCTTCATGAAAATAACAGTTGAGGAAAACAAATTAGAACAAAAACTGCATAAGAAAGTTGGTAAGGGAAAAGCGTTGCAGTTGCCGAAAACAAGACCAAATGAATTTTTGGACAACTTTCAAGATATTAACCATGAAAAGGAGAGGTAAAGTGGGAATAAAAAAAATTAAGTTGATGGATCAAGATGCCGCCAACACCTTGCCGAGTCAGTATGAGGACGAAGCTAACAAAAGTCGACTAAACATGTATTCTCATTATCTATTTGTTGCTTTTTGAGAGATGATAAGATGTCAGCAGAAAGGTTGCTCTGAAGTGGTTTCGAACTGACTCAGGAATGGATTTGATGTCTAATTGGCATGACATCTACATTATGGACCAACACATCATAAGTGGGAGAGCTCGGACGGATCATCAATTATTTATCAACTACTCTTACCAAGAGGAATCAAAATTGTGCTGGAACAACTCACCAGAAGTTGAGAAGGAGAACACTTCACTGAGATCTTTGCACTTTGAAGAAGGACTAGAGGACAACGAGGACTAGAGGAAAAATGAAATATCTACTATCTACTATGGACTACTTCCCTGAATAGCTTCAAATGAATTATCCTCATTTGAATCGAAAAGTTGAAGACAGAGTGTTTCTGGAATTACATTTCGAAATTGGGGCAGAACATTTTATACAACAGGACTGGGATAAGCTGGGCCCAATATTATTTTTGGCTTATGGTTATTCCCTATCACTGCTCAACACTGGAAGGAAAATAAAATCTTCAGCATATCTATTTTTCGGTTTGCCACCCAGTTATACGAACCAGGCAATATACATCATGTTGACGAGAAATCCAAGAAGTTGCCGGAAAGAGGACACGATATAATGACTTCATCCATAGATAGCTTGAAGGCAGTGCATGGAGTGCATGGACCGAAAAGCCATGGTAACTGGGATCACGAGGGTATACTATAGAGAATATAGAAAGGTTATCACTTGGTGACTAAGAAAATAATCCATCTTATAAGACAGAATCAGTACTGTGGTGGAATTTTAAAAAATAATCCACATCCAGAAATGTCCAACATGCATTGACAACTACCTCGACGTTCATTTAATTAGCAGTGAATATTATATCATTTCTATACACTATATCATACTCGAAAAAAAATGACATTGGAGTTAATTTTGAAATCAAAACACCGTTCATTACTTTTTAATTTTTATAAATGAACCAGTACTTACCAATTGTACTTTTTTCGATCCAGATGGGCTAAGTGGGATGATTTGAGGTTTTCGTTCTAAGGATTTTGTTCTCAACAACTGGGTATCGCCAGTATCAACGTCTTGCAATTGGGATGATTTTCTGAAATTGGAATTTAATACATTACTGTATGATTGATATGAATAGAATATATTGAAATAGTTTTTTGGAATAAACCTTTTTCAGTTTTATTTAATTTTAGAAGTGATAACTTCTTATGGGAGGGTAAACCGCTTCGTTACCTAACGTGTAACGGTGCCAGTTTGTCTAGCTTCCCTTTCTCTCACGCATGTCAGCGGAAGGCAGGCTCCTTCTCTCTTGCCGGACAGACGTGTGAGTTAGACATATATTGTTGACAGTATTATGAAAATCTTTTACAGTTGAGTACGTTATATTTTTTATTTATGTGAATCCTGGCATGAAAATGATGATACTAATTTTGTATAATGACCTGAACTTTTCTCAAGTTGAACAATTTCAATATTTTTTTTTCAAGGACAAAACACAAGCACTACAGAAAATGGTTGACAATGTTTCGTGGTGCATTTCCATCGTCTAATATGATATAAATTGATTCGAAATCCCTGAAAAAATCTGTGAAAAAAGTATTAAGCAAAAAAACTGAAAAAACAATGAGAAAACATACAAACAACTACCAAAAAAATTGTATATTAAACAATGAAAGTCCAAACTGATGAAATGCACTGCAGAAAAATACTTAAGGCGCTCTCAGAGCGGTGCCTGTTCGAATGTAGCGACTCACATTGGATTTGAATCGCTGGAGATTAAATTCATTTGGAGAAACGTTCTCAGGAAGTTTATTTCACAAAAACGCAGTTCTCCAGATGAGAGGGTTCTCAAACAGTAAAGTTCTAGGTGTACTGAGTTGAACCTCAAAACGATCAGCAGCCACAGTCCGTCAGGTATTTCTAATATGTACCGCTCTTGGTGGAATCAAATGTGCCAAGCCATTTGAACACTTCCCGTGAAAGTATCTATAGAAGACAGACAAATCTCCAACCTTTTTTCGATGTTCCTGGCTATCAAGGTTGCACGTGATAATCGCCTCTCCAATTGAGCGGATGGCTTTTTTCTGGATGGAATCCAGCATTTTCAGGGTATGTTTGGGGGCAGAGCTCCATACATAAGAACAATACTCCAAAGAAGATCTGATTGGAGCTTTATAAAGCATCAAAAGTTGCTGAGGTGTGTACAGTTTTCTGGTTCGGAACATGATTATGCCAAGACATATTGGTGTCCATTTCAACCCGCAACAAACTTATCGAAGCAGAAAACGGAATTGTCTGACTTGGCATTATTATATCCGGTTCGAAGATATTTACCTTTTTGGAGAAAACTGATGCCTGGGTTTATGTGGCATTGAATTGAATCTGGCTACTTTCACCCCAATTCAAAATCACTTCTAGATCCTCATCAAGATATGCAATCTTCTGCTGCCGGTGAAGATGTGTCTCCGTAGCCGATGTCCTGAAATCCAAATGGAATGACAAGACAAGTGTGCTGTCGTCAGCAAAGCAATATATTGGAATCTAGTTTTTTTGCTAATGCCACACACGGTCAAAGGACTTAGAAATATCAAGCGCAACAACTCTTGATTCTCCATGTTTCTCGATTGTGTTATTCCAAATATGGGTAACATACGATAGAAGGTTGCCTGTTGATCTTCGTTTCCGAAAACCATATTGATGATAGCTCAAGATGTTGAAGCCTTCCAAATATTTCAGGATATTATGAGGATATTAAATGGTTCAACTTAGATTAGTTCAAGTTATCACTTCTATCGGGCGTCTCGAGATGTACACGTTTTTTTTTTGATACTGAAAGACATAAAGAGCAACCTCAAGAATTCCTATATCGACTACAGGGAGTTGAAGTGATTCAAGAACCAAAGTGGATTGTTACTTTCTCTTCTAGACTTGAAACATTTCAATTCAAGTTTTCAATATCTGAATTTTTCAATTCACTAACGGAAACATTGTTCATTTTCAAGGTTGAAAAATAACCTTCATTTTAAATTCGTAAGAACAAATCTCTTTTGATGAATTTCAAAAATGAGAAAACATTGAAAACATTTGGAATTAGCAACAATGTCCTGAAACTCCCTCAACACTCTCTTCGTTAATTCAGCCTCCCAATTAGATTTAAAAAAAATTGAAAAATTCAAAAAGTTGTCAAACCAGCGCAACAATATTGGTATGGATCTTCTGAAAATTCAAATTTATAACTTTTATTATCTTTTATCGATAATTCCAACCGTCTGCTATTACCCTTATCTTAAAAATGTCAACCAACAAACAAATTTATTAATCTAAAGAAATTAACTTCAAATGTTCAAGCCCGTTTCGGTTATACCTACACAGTAGGTTGGATAAACTGCCGCTTATCAGAAAACAACTACTCCACTGGCTAATACCACGAACAGCGTTGGATTATATCCGACAGGCATCAGTGCAGGAATCTTCACAGAAAATTTCCTGCATATGTAATTGGCAATACAACTGAAAACGTCGACCTCCAATTTTGGAACGGGAACACTTGCAGAACGGTTTCGGGCTTATTAGTCACTCGTCAGTGCAAGATAGTGGCCATCATCGACATAAAGTCAATGATATTTTCTGATAGGCGTCAGTCCATTCAACCTAATGTGTAGTTGAACATTTCAACGGGCTTGAACATTTATGTTGATTTCTTTAGATTTGTTTACTGCCTGTCTTCAAGCATAGCCCACTGACTAATAAGAAAGATTTATCAATGCCTAACTGAACATTTATGAAAATCTCATGCCTAGATGACGGTCAGAAATTGTACCTATTCAATTTGTTGTGAACAACTGACAGCTCAGACCCTATTCCGTGAATAATGCTAACGTTTATATAATGTATTTGAATATAGCGTAATTGAGAATTAAGAAGCACAAACTCACCTGAATATAGCTTCAAATGCTAATCTTATTCTACTCTCAGCCCCTGTAACAGTACTATAAGGCGTGGCATTAGGACTTGTGGATAAAAATGGCGTGAATCCCCTGAGCGTAACTGAATTAGTTTTCTTAAGTATGGATTTCTTTGGCAATGTACCATATACCGGATTGTACACGGGCTGGAATATGATAAACAGATTAAGGGAAATAACTGGAGACATCTAATATGACTACCTTGTCCAGTTCGTTTTCAGAAATCTGTTTTTGCAACATATCTGGTGCCGGAGTAACTTGGAATCGCGACGGTCTTCTCTGTCGTTCTTCAACTATCTTCAATTCTTCTTCTCTAGCTTTCTCTTCGGCTTCCTTTTGTCTTATAGCGGCTGCCTGAGAAAGTTTTTTTATTTTAAAGATTACTTTAAATTTGTATGAGCCCTACCTGTAGTCTTTTTTCTCGTCCAATATGTTTTTCTATCAGTTGTATGAGATGGAGTCGCCGAATTGAGCCCAATAAAACCATGCTATCTGGTTTGTCAACAAGTGGGAAACTTTGCAATCTTCTATTTTCCTTCAGTATTGCTTTGAGTTGATCGTATGACATTCCGTGGAAAATATATTTTATATCCCTCACCATGAAGTCTTCAACATATACATCGTACATTCCTGAAAATGAAGTGAATGAATTGATGATGAATTTCTGAAATTTATGATATACCGTTGAACTGTGAATATAGGAAATCTGAGTGTGTTAGACGATGAAAATATCAATTTTTAAATTCCTCCAGTCATTGCAAAATAAGGTAGTTGAGTTTATTTTGAATCATTTAGATCGAAAAATCTCTTATACTTCGCCTCGTTGGCGTTGTTAAAAAGGGATGTTTACCAGGTGCGATACCAGGTAATCCAGTAATTTAAACGCCAAAATTTAACCAAATTTGAATGGAAATGTGAACACTGTCATTGAATAACCATTTATTAGTTTACTTGGTGGAATTAAATCAGTTACTTTTTTGGTTAAATTAAAAAATGATCTGATAAAATTGAAGAGAACATCATCCGGGGCCAAATTGGACAGTTTTAAAAGAAAACTACTGTTTTCAAACCGGTTAGATGAAAACTGATAGCTGTCTCTTAGGGTCAAATTTTATGACAAACTCATTGGTTAAAACCGCATACCGATATATACCATCGTTTCTGAGTTACAGCATGTTTTTCGAATATGAACATTTTCGAAAAGTTGCTGTAACTTTTTTCTGCCAAAAATTAATTTTTTTATATGAAAACATTTTCAAAGCATTTTTTTACAGAATTCAATGGTGTGAAAACTCATTTTTTCAAATGAGATATCAAAAATTATTGATGGAAAACAATTTTTTAATGAGACTGTATATGCCTGCATATTTTAATGGAGCTTAAAATTACCTTTTCAAAAATGTAGCACACTTGATGTTTTGCTAGAGTCATATTTGAAATACAGAGCTTTTAGGTTTTTCATGTAGACTTTGAAACGCACACTTTGATCGAGTAGGCCTTGGACGACGCGGGCGATAAAACAGATAGTAATTGCTTACTAGTAGCTATCAAATATTGAGAAAGCTTTTCACAGCAGTAATAAAAACACATAGTTTTAATAAAACTGATAGGAATGTATACCATATTTACTATTAATAAATGAAACTCCAACAATAAAAATGATAATGATGAAGAACAAACAATAAAATATATTTTTTCAGGCGTTTTTCAGGCGTTCGAAATGTCTACCAGCTTCTTCTAGACACAGGAGTGAGTGAGACATATGGAGTGAGAGAAGCAAAACTGCATCACTGCCTCTTCCGATTCGTATCTAGAATTGGTCGGCAATTTCAAAATAAAATCTTTCAACCTTCCCCAGAGGTAAAAGTCCATAGCCGTTAGGTCCGGTGACCTGGCCGGCCAACGGTTGGGTCCTTGGTTGGCTATCCAATTATTACCAAAATTTGCAGCCAAAAAGTTGGTGACGATTTTCATCATTAACTTTGTTTAGTTTGAAAATAGGAGTTTCCCTTTGAAAGTGTCCAATTTGGCACACTCTGTACACACTGTACATCATAAGTGAGTGCGAAGTCTCAGCAGTGTTGCGGATTTTGTTCTCTTGTTAAAGCCTACGTTCTTTCATCTGGAGGAATATTTATTGAACTACATTTTTTCCTTTATTTTGGCAAATTCTGTTTCTCACAAGTTCATAATATTAACTTGTTAGGGAGGATTTTGATCTGGCCACCACGTTACCTGAGGTGGAAAAGTGTGAAAGCTCCCATCAAAAAATTAGTATCAATAAAACTTGGTGATCTAATCTGTTAAAATTGGCCTGATTCTGAAAATTTAATAAATATGGAATTGAAATAATGTATGTAGGTATGTAATTCGATTAGTTGTTAGGATAAATGCATATTGCCAGAATACCTGTATACCCTACATGAATTCTGTTAAAAAAAATCTGTTTAGAATATGTTTTTCTGTTAATCAGCTGCCGCCCCCATACGAACGACAACTCTCAGAAGTTGAGAAACTTGTGCGAGCTAAGGACTAACGTGGTCTTACCTTTTAACGTGTGATTCCCAACACGGTTTTGAAAAGAAAGTTCAAGTTAGATTAGTGGTGACCACGTCACCGCTTGTTAATTGTATTAGGTATGTTCTCATTACCCTGTATGAACATTGTATGTTTCTTGAGATCAATAATCGTTATGTATTATCCACTATCTTTTACAAAATAACCACACTACACTACAGTTTATATACTTACCACTACTACTTGGTAGTAAATCAGGTAGATATGGCAACTTTTTGATCAATATGATACTGTCGTAAATACTTGGGGCCAATAGACTTGCAATAGCATTTCCAGTTAAAACCGCTATCATTATAGGTATAATATGAGTAATTTGTCCAGTCATTTCAAAAACTATCACAGATACTGAAATGGTGTGGGTGACAGATCCGCTAAAAGCAGCCGCACCAACAGTTGCGTAACCGCCAGGAATTATTTGGGCCACTTTTCCGCCGTATCTCATTCCTGAAAGAAAAATTATTATAGAGTTTGGAGCGCTTGAGCTATTCATAAACTTATTCGATGATTAAGATGGTTAATTTTAAAGACAGTTGATTGCTATAGTATAAAATGGAGGAAATATAGTTTTGAACTTTTTTGGTTGCTGCTCCTATCACAATGTGAAAATAAAATTGAAATTCTAATGTAAAGAAGAACCAGATTAGGCAGTGACTCAAATCTATGCAAACATTTCGAAAAAAAAATTCTTCACTCTATAAACGAGTGGTAGACATTTTTGCTGTTTGGAATCGAAATCATGATGGCAGTTGGTAGTTGAACAAAATGGTCAATTACTTTTCCTGATTTGTCCATAACACAGCGAAGCGGTTTGCAGTTACAAGGACGACATTTGAAATGAAGGAATGTTTTAATATATTCTGCGGTTTTATAGAAGAATATGTATTGGGTTTCTTCATTGAATTATACAGTGCATTTCTTTAATGTCCCCCACCCCTTTTATTTTTTGAACGGGTCGACTCAAAAAACTGAAATTTGGGATAATGAAATTAATGCATGCAGACTTTATTTTGAAGTGAAATTAGCAGTTGAAACTTTCAAGATGGCGACTGGGCGCCATCTAGGAAAAAAATTGAACGGAAAGAGGGGGTCTGTGACACATCTTTTTGAAGCTCCTGACAACTGTTTCACAACCCTAGAATATAATGTCAATATCTTCAACTACTACAAAATGGCGGAACTTTTAATAATTGCCTGAATACATCGACATTTAACATTTGCGAACACAGTATTGTCAACATCTCTACAAATATTTATTATTCTCTGCCGCAGTTTCAGTTTCGTACACCTTTAGCTTCAAATAGCCCCATGAATAAAGTCCAAAGGTGTCAAATCTGGCGAGCGGCTTGTCATTCTGTAGGACCGAAACGGCCAATCCAACACCGGAAAAATTGGTATCCAAATAGTTTCTTACTTGTCTGGAGTAATGTGTTGGTGCTCCATCTTGTTGGATCACAATATCCAGTAGGATTCGCTTCGACGATTTCAGTGATGAGAGGGTCAACAGTAATTTCCAGCATATTCAAATACAGTTCCCCTGTTGAATTTTGACCAATAAATAGAAGTCCTACAATATGGTTTCTCAATATTCCTGCCCAAACGTTATTTTTTTCTGGATATTGGGTATGTGTTTCCCGGAAAACGTGAGGGTTGGTGTCACTCCAATAACGACAATTTTGTCTGCGAACATTGCCGTTTAAAAAAATGTACATTTGTCACTAGAACAAATATTGTGGAGATAGGTAGGTTGTCTTGCAATAGTTTCCGTCATGATTTCGCAGAAGTATGTTTTTCGATCAGGGTCAGCTTCAGTTAATTGGTGTACCATTATAATTTTGTATGGATGATACCTATTCCTCTTCAAAAATCTCCACATAGTAGAAGGAGGCACCTCACAAACATTCGTGACGGAACTTTCGTGACTTTCCAGAATTTACTACCATCTCACCAATTATTTGTTGCACTTGCTGTTCTTCCCGAGTGGACGGATGACCTGGGGGCTTTTTGTTATGTACACTACCGGAAGTTGTCAATTTGGATACAAGCTCCCTCAAATATTTTCTACAGATAGGACGATTCGGAAATCGTTCATTAAAAATCCTTTCGGTTTCGTGAAAGTTAAGCATCGCACCGTAAATAAAAATCGCTTCAATTTTTTCTTCCAATGGATGAGAATTGACCATTTTAGAGACTGTTGATGTGGTACTTTTCTGCTAGTGAAACCGAAAACTTAATGAGAATATTCTAACTGAACAATGATGTTCATTGTCGTACTGACATTTTTTGAAGTATTTATAAACAAAAAATAACTCAACACACCTTATCTGGTTCTTGGAATTGCCATATGGCAGATAAAAAGAAATATTTCTATAAATATCGATGTGTTTGTCTTCAGGAAATTATTAAATGTTCCGCCATTTTGTAGTAGTTGAAGATATTGACTTCATATTCTAGGGTTGTGAAGTATTCGTCAGGAGCTTCAAAATAATGTATCACAAGACTCCCCTTCACATTTAATTTTTTTTCCCAGATGGCGCCCAGTTGCCATCTTGAAATTTCATCTGCCATCTGTCAATTCCACTTCAAAATAAAGTATTCATGCGTTATCCCAAATTTCAATTTCTAGAGTTGACCCCTTCAAAAAATAAAAGGAGGGGGAAAATTAAAGAAATGCACTGTATAAATTGGTTATCTAATTTTATCTAACTGGTATGTAATTCCTAATTATTATTTTCAGGGTGTCAACGGCATCGACTACTTTGGCCATTAGCCTCGTGTTCGTGGTAGGCAATGTTGATAACTCTCCGAGCCACCTGGGGAGCATCATGGCTATTCGCTACCGCCACCGCTACCGTCAACCTTGTAACGTTGCAAAATCATCCCAATTTTAACTAGATAAATTCTCTCGAGAAAAATATCTCGTCGAGGTGGTGATCGAACTAACCACCTTCCGATCGTGAGTCGGGCACACTACCATTGCGTCAATTCACTACTTTCAATATACTATTGAAATGAAAGTTTTTGCTTATTTTGGAGGTGGAGATCGTTACGTCTGCGAAGCGTTAATTTTGGTAATATTCAATTGAATTTTTTGTAGGGCAATTTTTTATGAGAAAAGTATAATAGCATATAAGAAGAAGCATATTGTTCTAACCTACATAGAAGTTTGGCTTTATACACCTGTAAAAGGTTATTCATTTTTACTGATATTGTTGAGTATGATAGTCACCTGTTGGAAACCACATATGCATCATCTCTCCTACTATTCTACCAAAGCTTGCTCCAATTTTAAAAACTGGTATGAAAATTCCACTGGGTACTGGCAAAGTTGAGCAAACAATAGAGGTGACAAACTGAAAACAGTAATCCATCAATATTTTTCAAACAATAATTGTACTCACTTGTTACTTGAATGAGGTGAATGATGTTCTATCTGATGGTTTGCCTCTTCATTTACTCTTTTGTTGCCGATCTTTCTGGACAACCATCAATTTGACAGGACACTACTAACACCGCTTGAAAAGGGTGTTTTACAAAAGAGTTTTTTGTAATTATATCAAACCACATTAGCAGAAGAAATATTTTCGAATATTGGACCCCTAGCAGAAATTTAACAAAAGAACAAGCTGTGGAAAGATGAAAGGAATCGGTCAGGAGCCTAAAGGCCCCGAAAAGAGCAATTGAAAATTTGGATGTTTATGATGATATCCACGGAAATGTCCTATATTTCCTCCTGCAATTTTTTCAGTGAATTTTCCAAAACAACTCTGAACACCAGAATCACTATCTCTCCTTGAGTGATTTCAGGAAATAATTCAGATAGATGATTTGGTGTTTTTTTCTGACATTCATGCAATGGTGTCGAAAAAAAAAGACAGACAAAAAATTTTTACATTAAAATCGTTTTCAATCCGATAAAAAAAAATCAAGGATGGTAAGAGAACATCAAAACTTATGGAAGTGTGTATATTGGAAACATAACAAGATCGATAAAGAAAAGTGGCAAGAGTTAAGAGCAATATATATATTCAAAAGAGATGAGTGGTCATTGTATCAAGGTTGAGAACATATTGCAAAAACTACTTCATATGCAGGAAAGCTACCAAAATTCATAAGCATAAAACAATTTGAACAAAGCATACGAAATTCAAAATGGAGTTGATAAAGTCTGGTTATCATAAAATAATGCGGAAATTGTCCCATTTGAAGATTCCTTAGATAGGCTCTAACTACTCATTAACTAACCAATTAAATGTAATATAAATACAGTTATACAGTTTTAGTCAGGGTCGAATTAAAAAAAAAAGAGTACGAGTCTGTTGAGTTCTTGAAAGGAAAACTGCTCATGTTGGCAAAATGCTGAGAAATATTCAAACAGGTGACATGTCGACTATCCAGAGCAATGCAAACACAAGTTTTTCATTTTCAGGAACCTTGAATTTATGACATGCTCATTATGGATTGTTCCTAATTTCATGAAAATTATTTTAATACTTACATTGAATAATATATGACAAACTAAAGTGACTATAACTCCAGTCCAAGGTGTCCTCCAGTGGGCCAATATACGATCCTGGGCAACGGTTAGGTTGGCACGGGTCCATGTAAAATTACTGAAGAGGGCTGAAACCTGTTCATGTGTATTCAGGTCACCTGCAAGAAATTGACCAGAACCCAATGGAAACGATAGACTAGCGACCCAAAGTGATACGATACCAGGGTAAAGGAAACGACTGAAAATTATTGAGAACTATTTAGATCGATAACCCGGGAACCTGAAACTCATCATTAATAAACTCACTTCTTTTTTAGAAAATTGTTGAGAGTCTTACTGTTTCTCATAAATATCACATACTGTCGATGTACCCATACGTAGAAAGCTCCTCCTAGTCCACAAAAAGCCCTGAAATCCCAATAAATGAGAATGAAAATCTGTCTTGAGAGATGTACATACATTGTATTGTTTAAGAAAATACTCTCATAACTTTTCCGTGCACATGAATAACGTTCTGTTGATTCTGGTGATAATAAGTACACAACTTTCTCTTCAAATGAATAAACTCCCAGAAAAAAATGTAAACAGTACGGACGTGAAAAGTTACCCTTCTTAATTTTTGAATGGGAGAAGATGTCCAAAATTCACGTAAAATGGTAATATGTTCAGTACTTTTTAGACTCTTGTGATAGCTGGTTTGATTGTTATCTCAGTTTTCTATTCAACACTGTTTAATTTTTTTAATCAGATCAGGTGTTCAAGATGAAGCAAATTGAGTATTAGTGCTGGTGTTTGGGAAAAGTGCTCGTTTTGAATTTGTCCTACGCCAGAGGTTCAAGTTAAAAACCTTTTATTCCCTTTTTGATTACTTGTTTTGTTTGTTACAACATTAGTTGTCAGTAATTTGATTTAAGTTTAAAGTTTGTTAACTTTAAGTCTGACAAATGGTTAGATTAACGGAATAGATTATGCATAAAATAACAGTTTTACAAATGATTGGTTACGGAGATACAACCCGAACACAACAGGAAGTAGCTCGCCTATTTCATGAGAAATTTTCTAATTCACCGCCCATATCTCAAGGAACAATAAGAAAAATAGAGAAGCAGTTTCGCGCGCTTGGTTATGTGGGGCGAATAAAAAAAACAGCTGCCAATGCAATGAGTGATAAACTCAATTTGGATGTGATGCTTGAGTTTGGGGAAAACCCACATACATCGAGTAGACAGGCATCCACTACATTCAATGTTCCATACATCGATAGTAAACATATTAAAATAATATAAAATGCATCCCTATAAAATGATACCTACTCAGGAGCTCATGGAAGACGATTTTAATAAAATAACTTATTCAATTAGAAGACTTTATGTTTTCTGATGAGTGTACTTTGTCTCTTAACGGTCATGCTAATCGTCAAAATTGGATGGAGAAGAACACAATTACCTCAAAAGGTTAATGTTTGGACAGGGATTGTAGGAAACCCTTTTATATTGAAGGCAACTTGAATGGTGATAATTATTTGGCACTACTTCAAAACGATGTCATTCCAAGTTTAGCCAATTTATATCCTGATTCAGGAAACCCTCAAGTTCCAGTGAATACGATATAGTTTCAGCAGGATGGAGCACCACCACATCACCAAGTTAATGTTCGGCAATACCTCGATACAACATTTCCCAATCGGTGGATAGGGAGGGGAGGATCGATTGAATGGTCAGCGCGATCACCTGATCTTTCATCGTTAGATTTTTATTTATGGAGATATGAAAAGAGCAATGTGTACAAAATTATACCTTCACATATAAATGACTTATAAGAACGAATAACGCTTGTGATTAGGTCGGTCACGCCTGATATGTTAAATAATGTTAGAAGACAGTTTACTTTGAGATTAGGTTGTTGCCAAGGCGTTCGCGGTGAACATTTTGAACATCTACTTCGTTAACATCCATAGTTCTTTTTCGTATTCTGAATTTACTTTATCGAATTTCGATAACCACATGATTTTTATTTATTTTATCTTAATTGTTGCAAAAAACTTGGAAGCGATAACATTTTTGAATAGAGAATGAAGAGACCTTTCCAACGATATATCAAAAGCGAATATTTCCTATTTAAAAAATTGGGGGTTGTATCTGTCATTCTACGGGGTTTGAAGGTGGGGGTAGCATTTTTCCGTTGAAGTATGTCAAATTATAATTAAAATTTGACGTGTTTCGGGGTTTTGTTAAAATATGTACAGTAACCGTACACACTGTATTATGGAATGATTGTGGCGTAATTTCGTTAGGAGCACATTTTATTCTATGAACTCTACGGTTATGTAAATGCTTTCCATTTGACGGAACCCCAAGAATACCTCTAGTGTGTCACATCAGGAGATCTATCGGGCCATTCTCATGGACTACATTTGCCTATTCACCGGTTATCATACCACTTTCGAATAACCTGTCATAATGACTAGGTACCTCACCTTGCTGAAAGTGACACTAATTTAGGACGGTCAGTCATCTCATTCGGTAGATGAGTACACGTGTTTCTTTAGAATTACACACTAAATGACTTGATATGAACCCTCTGGAGATTTTCAGGGTCGAATCGAGCTGGCCAATACTTGATAGAAATCCATATCAAAACTCACTATATATATTATATTTTCATACTGAAAATCAAAATAAATCTTATCTTATCTAAAGTGAACGATATACAACCACGGTTCATTGCAGAACCTGTGGATGGAAAAAAGGAATATTTCATAATATGAGAAATTGGTGGACAGACTGTTTTTTGGGTATACAACCTTTTCAACCATCTGAAAAATAAACAAAGCTTAATCAATAGAAAATCTACAGAGTGAGTTTTGAATGTATTATTTTTTGTGTGCAGGTTTCTCAAACAAATATAAAACTATTAGTTACCCAGAAACAGCCAAATTTCAAAAATGAAACCATGTTGGATGAAGAATTGAAATATCTGCATTATGATTACCAGTTTCATCACCGTGGAAATTTGGGAAGCTAACCTGGAATGCCATTGGAAAACGAATCCACATGTTTCTAGAAAATATATGAAATCGAGAAAGGTTAACATAATAATCATTCCATGAAATTATTTTCCAGCAGATCAACACCAAAAAAGTTTGATTGAATGTCAAGGTTTTGCTCACTGTTTTATTTGATTACCGTGGCATAGTGCATCAGTAGTTTTTGCCACATAGTCTTACGGTCAATAAGGAGTATTATCTTGCCCCCATACGACTTTTCAGATTCCCAAAATTGAAGAGACTCATGAAAGGACGGCGTTTTGCGATGATTGCGCGTTCAAGGACATATCAGAAATGCATATCAGAACTGCTTCGAGAATTGGAAAAAACGCAGACACAAGTGTATATCTGAAGGGAACTACTTTGAAGGGGACAAAATAGAAATTGATGAATTGATGAACATTTTTTTATAAAAATGAATATTCACCTTATTTTTTTAACAGACCTCGTATGTACATACATTTGACTTGCTGTAATGTTTAAAATTTCCATATTTGAAATTTTAAGAAAGTAGAAACAATTCAACATTTTGAAAATAAGAAGGAAAATATGTAATGTTTGAATTGAAAGGGTTATATTTTTAGGAGTGACTAATTTTTTAGGAAAGAAAGTTTTTGACTTTCTACTACTCCATCTTGTTACAAAAAAATGTGAGACTCTTTCAAAGAAAGGAAGGTAGTAATCAATTTTAAAATATGTAACTCTCTACATGGATGTGTAGATCATGCAAAGAAGTAACTTTCAGACACAAACTGTAAGGAGAATCCCTCCTGAAACAGCTACTTTCATATAAACATTGAATTACACGAAAGAAAAATTCTTTCGAAACGAATTCTTTTACATGAACACTGAATTATACAGAAGACACTATTCTCTACTCAGTTTGTATTCCAAACATTCGTTATGGAATAAATTCAGATATCATTCACAGAAGTTCTACATTAAATGAATGGTAAACATTTTTCGCACTTACATGGAACACTGTTATCCTCACTGGTAGACATCGATGTTTCGCCGTAAGACACCTGCCTTAGGGCTCTTCAGTACTAATCTGGATAACATTATAAGAAAAAACACACAATTCATTCATGAATTACGATTTTTTATGTCATGGAATGAGTTTGATCTACGTATGTCATAGATGACATTGTGATGACATCCATTCACCTATTTGATTAAATCCCAGACAAGAGGAATCTTGTTTAAATTGAAAGGGTTATATTTTCAAGAGTGACTAATTTTTTGGAAAAGGAAGTTTTTAGTTTTCTACTACCCCATCTTGTTACATGTAGCATATGAAAGTAGCTGTTTCAGGAGGGTTTTTCCTTCCAGAATGTGTCTGAAAGTTACTTCTTTGCATAATCTACACATCCATGTATATATTTCAAAATTGATTACTTCCTTCCTTTCTTTGGAAGATTCCCACTTTTTTTTGTAACAAGATGGAGTAGTAGAAAACCAAAAACTTTCTTTTCCAAAAAATATGTAATGTTGTAATATGAAGACTCTGAACTATCAAATGATTCTAGTGAATTAAATGATGTTCTATTATTATACACATGTTATCGAAATATGTTGTTATCATTATGATGACCAAGGACAAGATCAAATGCAATCCTGCTACCTATTTCTGGTATGTTATTTGATATTTGCCTCTGCATATTTATTTTTTTCTTTTAGCACATGTTTGATTTTTCCTTATACGGCTATCATAAGGTTAATGTGCACTGATCCGTATTTCATTCGTTAACACAGATTTTTGCATAATGTAAATACATTAACATGAAAAAGGAATATTTTCAAGAGAGATTATTTATTTGGGAAAAAAGGTTTTCTATGTTTCCATCATTGAAAAAAAATGTGGGAAACTTCCAAAGGAACTAAGGAAAACTGAAAAAACTTTTTTGCAAGGGATTAATTCAAAAATTATTTTAGATTTTAGGCCAATTTTTCTCTACGAATTCAAATTGAACCAAAGCGTGCCTGAAACAGCTCAAAAAATTAAAAAAGGCAATCGGCAATAATATATGAAATTACTATCAAAACTCACCCAATTAGTGCGAAAACAAATAATTCTTGAGGATCAAATGGGAAATCCATGAAAAAGTTGGTTCTGAATACTGCAGTGACTGTATCAGCTTTCTGGAACCATACCGCCAATAGACGAAACGTGGTGGCTCCACACACAGCAGCAAAAAAACCTCTCCAATAATTACGAACAGCGAAATAAGTAGTAGTTACTTCTATACTAAATAATACACCTGAAAATATGATTTTTCACTCTATTTACAAAATTGGATTATACTCAGTTAATGTGTTGGGTGCTTAATACTTATCATGATATTGTTATCTGTTTAAAATGTGGCGTCCTTGGACAAGAACTAATAGTAATAACGAGTGTGATAACAACGCAGACTTTTTCCAGTGTAGTCATTCCAATAGCGATGGTGAACAATACGAAATAGAAATACCAGCGAATACGATTCGGATGCATTTGAATATTGAAACACAGAGAGTATTACAAGCAACATCAGATTTGACCGAAATTCCTTTCTCAACTGTACGTAAAATATTCTAAAATAAACCTCATGATCGCAAGACGTGATATGATACGGAATTAGATGTTCATCTAACAAAATCATTGAAAAAAACAATATACGACTGTTACGAAGGTAATGAGATTCCTACAACTGAAATCATAAGGAAGAAATTGAATACTTCCGGCCATAAAGTGAGCTGCTGTGACAAAACTCTTCAGAATTAAATAAAGAAATTAGTGTTTATATTTAAAATAATAAACAAACGTCAAACAGTTATGGAAAGCAGAAGAATAGTGTAGTTGCGTAACTTAGAACGAATAACTAAATATAGATAAGAACAACGGAAAATATACTATTTGGACGGATCTTTGTATAACACTCACGACACTCACAGGTGGATGATGGTTCGAGAATGTGTACGCCTAACATGCTTGCAAACAAAGGATCGCGACTCATCATTGTGTATTGCGGAGGAAGTAAATGATGGGTTCCGAATTCTTTGAAATTATGTGGAAAATAACTGGAGGACTGCAATGTTGACTATCATAAGAATATGAAAGCTGATATTTTCAAGGAATGGTTTGAAAATATATTGGTCCCAAATTTGAAGGCGAATATTGTAATGGTTTTTGACAACGCTTCCTATCATTCGCGACAGCTCATCAAAGTAACGAATAAAAATTCAAGGAAAGATAAAATACAAAGTTTTGTAATAAAAACCAACGACTCGAAGTTTTACAGACAAAAACATTTGAAGAAGTATATGCCCTTGAGAGTATTGCTGAAAAGTATGGACACACCATACTCATTGGGTTGAGATGGATGACGACAAAGGGTCTAGTTCGATTCTGTTGAAGCTTAGAATTGATATCTTTCTTTTTGTATTGCAACTTCATTTTGTCGTTTGTCATCCGTTACCTGTTAGATTCATGAATACGTGAAATTTCAACTAACAGCTCCTATGGAAGTTTAATTCAAACCTAATGATCAATATCGACGAAGTGTAACAATATTTCACGTCAACAACTCTATCATGAAGAACATTCGTGGGAATATGAGTTTTGAGTTCCTTCACATTACTGATTTAGACTTCCGACATGAAGTACGGAAATATGATTTATTGTAAGATTTACACGAGATCAGTTCACTAAATTGCTTTTTTTTTTGAGGACAAAAACACAAGCCCTACAGAAAATTCCTCAACGCACTCTATGAGCAGCGCCTGTGTCGCACCCCTACGAACGACAACCCTTAGAAGTCGAAACTTGTGCGAGCTAAGGACTACCGAGGTCTTACCTTTTAACGTGTGAATCCTAACATGGAAAGTAGCGATTCACATTGAATTTGAATCGCTGGCGATCATATCCATCTGAAAAAACCTTCTCAGGAAGTTTATTTCACAAAAACACAGTTCTCCAAATGAAATAGTTCTTGAACAGTGACGTTCGAGGTGTACTGAATTGAACCTCAAAATGATGACCAGCCACAGTCAATCGCGTATTTCTGATATGTACCGCTCTTGGTGGAATCAAATGTGCCAAGTCACTTGAATACTTCCCGTGAAAGTATCTATAGAAGAGAGACAAATCTCCAACCTTTCTTCGATGTTCCAGATTATCAAGGTTGCAAGTGATGTTCGTGTCTCCAATCAGGCGGATGACTCTTCTCTGGATGGAATCCAACAGTTAATATAATTTTTATTTTCAGCTATTCATTTTCAATTCTTCTTTTTTAGTTGTTTCAGGGATTTCAAATCATTTCATATAGTAGGCAATGGAAGTCCGAACTAGTGAAATTCATAATGAAACATTGTCAATCACCTTCAAATGAAAACGGCAGATGAAACTTTCAAGATGGCGACTGGGCGCCATCTGGGAAAAAATTATTAGAAAGGGGGGATCTTGTTACACATTTTTTTGAAGCTTCTGACAAATGCTCCACAGCCCTGGAATATAATGTCAATATCTTCAACTACTACAAAATGGCGGAATTTTTAATAATTGCCTGAATACATTGAAATTCAACTACATAATATGAGGTAATAAGCTTGAGGTCGGTTCAGAAGATGTTCGAAATGGTTGCCTTGAACTTCTTGACATATGAACAGCCTATACGATATTTCACGCCGAACATTTTCGAACACAGTAACGTCAATATCTCTACAAATATTCATTATTCTCTGCCGTATATGCAATATTAAGGCAGGTTCAGGTGTCAAATCTGGCGAGCAGGCTGGTCATTTTGTAGGACCTCGATGGCCAATCCAACGACCGGGAAAAGTAGTATCCAAATAGTTTTTTATTTGTCTGAAGTAATATGGTGGTGCCCTATCTTGTTGGAATACAATATCCATATCGAATTCATTAGGATTCGCTTTGGCGATTTCAGTGATCAGAGGGTCATCAGTAGTTTCCAGTATATTCAAATACAGTTTCCCTGTTGAATTTGAATCGATAGATAGAGGTCCTACAATATGGTTTACCAATATTCCTGCCCAAACGGTAATTTTTTCTGGATATTGGGTATGTGTTTCCTGGAAAACGTGAGGGTTGGTGTCACTCCAATAACGGCAATTTTGACAACAAACCTTATCGGGTTGTTGGAATTGCCATATGGCAGATAAAAAGGAATATTTCTAGAAATATCGATATTAATGTGTTTGTCTTCAGGAAATTATTGAATGTTCCGCCATTTTGTAGTAGGTGAAGATATTGACTTCATATTCTAGGGTTGTTAAGTATCCGTCAGGAGTTTCGAACTAATGTGTCACAAGACCCCTCCTTTCCATTTAATTTTATTTGCTGATGGCGCCCAGTCGCCATCTTGAAAGTTTCATCTGTTAATTTCACTTCAAAATAAAGTATTCATGCATTAATTTCATTATCTCAAATTTCAATTTTGTTAGTTGACCCGTTCAAAAAATAAAAGGGGGGGACATTAAAGAAAGGCACTGTATATGACTATACGGTACTGATGACAGCTAATGAGCTAGAAACACGTGTTTGCGATTTGCTTGTATTTTTATGAGGGCTTTGTAAATGAGTTTCTCTCTGCTTTTCCGAGTTGGAAAGTTGAAACTCACCTCCTACAGGTGCTGCAAAACAACTTGCCACTCCAGCTGCGCACGCCGCAGCCAACATTTCTGTAGTTCTGCTTTCATTTTCATATATTCCTTGGAATCCTGTGACTAGTTTACTGAGCAACGTTGCGGAAATACTAGCTATATGGACGAATGGTCCTTCTTTACCTGTGAATCATAAAAATAACAATAATAATGTTTACTGAAAGGCTCTTAGATTAATACAGTATTTCCGAATAAACAGAGATACCCGCAAAGGTCGTACCTTTGTGCGGGTTCCAACGGCTATTCCGAAAGTAACAGTTGGAAAGTATTCGAGCAAAAAAAAATAAATAAGAAAAAAAACATTGAGTTCTTTCATGTTTAAAAAAATAGAGCTGATGTATGTCAAGTTAGAGTAGTGATAAACAGATAATTTTAAATAATCAAATAAACAATAATAATATTAATCGACTTTATTCATCGATAAAAGTAATAACATTTAAAAACAAAAATAACGATGAAAGGCGAAGTTCAGCTTGAGCTGTTTTTCAACTTGACCTAGTTGAAAGGACACAAATATACACAGACGTTCAAATAGAAGAACATTTGAAAGTTAAACAAAAATTTAAAAAATAAAATTGTGGACAGGAAAACAAGATAAAAAAGAGTAATAACGGTATCCAATTGAACTATAAAGATAATTTCAAGTGCATTTTCAGTTTCTTCTTGGAGTTATATAACGTGTAGTGTCTGAACTCAATGGGAAGTGCATTATAGAGGATAACTGAATTATATATGAAACTTCAAGTAAAACAAGCTGTGCAGTATTTGGGGCTGATACATTAACCACGATTTCTGGTTTTAGAGTGACTCTGTGTTTCAAATGTTATGTATCTTTCAAATAAATAGCGAGGTTTCCTTTGAGACTTAAATTTGTGAGTTTTGTAACAAGAAGGTTGAGTTGCCTAATTTCAATTAGTCTGAGCCAGCCAGACCCCTCAAATTTAGCTGAGATGTGATCGAAGTTTCTTACACCATAAGAGAACCGTATACAGTTGTTCTCACTTTTTTGGAGGCGTTTCATGTCCGATTGTATTATGGCAAACCCATAAATGATATCACAGTAAGAGACTCTGGATAATATTAGTGCTTCGCAAAGGTTCAGTTTGAGCTCGAATGTTATCAAGTCTCTGTTTTGGTACAGCTGCCGCAAGATATTATGGGAATTCTGAAAATTAAACTAACATGCTTGTTGAATCTGAGGTCGGAATCTAACCACAGTCCTAGGTTTTTGCTTTCGTTTACTATCGAAAGTGTATCATCACCAAGTCGTACATTGATAAGACCTTCAATTTCAGTCATTTTGCGTTTCGTACCTATCAGCAAAAGTTGGGATCAACTCGTGTTCAGTTTCAGATTGTGAGCAGCTACATGTGCGAGAGATTGTCAAGATCTTGATTGTCATTATGAACAGCTTCTTGCTAGTTATTTTTATTGAATGAGTAGTATAACTGAGTGTCATCTGTATAATGATGCATGCGACAGTTATTTATTATGTCATGGAAATTTGAGATGTTTATTGAAAACAGAAGACGTCCAAAAATTAATCCCTGAGGAACTTCAAAAGTAATTGGTACACTGAATATCTACTATCCATACATACAATTTACTTTCGATTTTCTAGGTATGCCTTACAACTCAACGATGTGTTTATAGAATCTAAAGTATGATATCTTCTTACATTGTATCAAATGCCTTACTGTAATCAAGTAGAACCACCAGAGTCAATTAATTTTTGTCAATTGAATTAAATAAATCCTGCGTTATGTTAACAAGGGCATTTGTATTGCTGTGGAATTCCCGGAAATGTGGCTGGACAGCAGTGATGATGATATTACTATACACAAATGAATCAATCTAATCTTTGATTATCAACTCGAATGCTTTAGAGAGAACAGGCAGTTTACTGAAAGGTTTCAGATGTGATAGTTCTATTGGATTATTAAAACGATGGATGTATTTATATGAAACAAAACAAAACTAGAAATATATAACTTACATGTTCACATGAATATAAATACAATAAGAAAAAAACTATACAATTGAAAATAATTATTTGAAAATGGAAAGTAAAAGGAGAAGGAACAACAGCCTGACTGTGTTTGGTAGGTATATCACAATTATTCAACCAGCAGTTTTGAAGGGTAAGTATTTTTGGAATCTATATTGCTATGCAACACGAGTCTATGAATTTTTTTCAACCAATATTTCATTTTGTGTTTGAATTATCTAATTATTTTTATTTCTTTCAGGTCATTTGGCAATTCATTTTGGAGTTTAGGCCCAAGATAAAGAAAACTTCTCTGATCGATCATTTTTTTCATGATGGGAACATGGGTAGTATTATTTTTTCTCCTCATTTCATGCTGGAATTCCCTTGGTTTCAGCAAATTATTTCTTTTGTAGAATGAAATAACACTTACACTGCTGTGTAAGCTGTGTAATGTTCAACAAACCAGATATCTCATAGAGGAAGGGAAGGTATGCTTGGGAAGAAATATCTGATTTTAGGAATGAGGCCTCTTATTTTCGTCAATCTGTTTATTTCAACGTAAATGGCAATCAATTATTATACTCGAATATTTTATTGACTTAGATATTTTGATATCTATAAGTGACTCACCATCCATAATTTCGATTCTCTCAAAGTCAGGTAGGTTTCTATTATCACACAAGAAAGAGATGAAATGTGTTTTTTCAAAATTGATGGTGAGTGCTTTGGAATTAAAAAAATCCATAATATTTTTGAAGTCTTCCTCAACTCCATTCTTAAGTAATTCCCACGATTTATTCCTATAAAAAACCGATGTGTTGTCAGCAAAACTCGTTATTTGGCCTATTGTAGGTATATTGTAGAGATCATTGACATAGAGGTGGAATAATAACGGTCTTAAAATGGTTCCTTAAGGTACTCCTGATGTTGTTTATTTTAACACATTGTAATCTATTCGATAGGTAGCTTTTGAAAAGTCTGTAAACTGAATCTCAAAAACCGATATATTCAAGTGTGTCAAATGATTCTTCATGGTTTACCGTATCAAAGGCCTTGGCCAGGTCAACAAAGATGTATAATGCTGCCTCACTTTCATCTATACCTTTGTATACTTTACTGACGACGTTTGCAGGTGCGTCCTCGGTTGGCCTAGCCTTCCTAAATCCGAACTGGTATTTTGAGATTAGAATGAATTTTTCACAAAAAATCAACTTCTAGTTCTGCATGCAAATCGTTTCCGAGTCTGGCTATTTCGTTTTTGATTATTTTATATAAATCTTCCATAGAAACAGTCATATCTTCATGGGAGTTTTGTGCTCTCTCACTTCACGTCACGGTGTTGGATTATATCCGACGTGTGTCAGTGTAGGCTTCTTCACTGAAGTTATTCCTGCATATTATGCTATCGGCGATACAACTGCCGCAAACGATAATCAATTATTGGAACACACTTGCAGACCAGTTTCGGGCTCTTTGGCCACTCGTCAGTGCAAGGTAGTGTCAATCATCAACATAGAGTCGATGATTTCCAGTAATTGAAAATTGAATTCCTTCAGAGTATTCTTCCTTGAACTAGGCTGAAGCGGACAACAAATGACAGGTTTGTCATCGCCACATCTGCCTGTGAAGGAGATAACCAACGGCATATCCGAAATTTGCCCAATTCCTCGTATAAAGAAAAAAAACTTTTCACATATAGTCAGTGGGCATACTTGAAGACTGGCTATAAATAAAATCATCTAAAGGAACAATTCGTACAGGCCAGTCTCAACTCCCTACACTGTAGGTTAATGAACTGACACCTATCAGAAAACAACTACCCCCCGGCTTATACCATGAAGGGCGTTGGATTACAAAGAAAATATTAGGAAAAAAGTAATAGAAACTTTTGTTTGCATTTCACGTTTCGAATAATGTAACAGGCTGATAACAGATTTCTACACATCGACTGCAAATCTTGTGGAAGGGAATTCTTTCTCACCGGCCATGACTCAGTCCGGCAGCCGTATCTTGGGCTGTGTTCAAACATATAAAATTATATATTGACGTTCGACGGTAAAGTAGGTACTAATACCAGGTGTCCCCTTTTTCAAAGCTATACTGGGTGTCTTGATTGTTGAGGAAAATATAGAAAAATGTTTATTGATTATAAAAGTTACGGAGCTACAACTATATGGAACACTTCGTGTTCCATATAGAACACTTCGTGTTCCATATAGTTGTAGCTCCATGTAGTTGTTTTTTTTACTAGAATACTTTATATATAATTATAAAGGTTCTTTGTCAAAGCTTGATAATACTCTATGTACCATTTTTACAATTTCGTTATCGATTTTTATGAGAATATTGAGTTCCAAGCAACATTATTTTTTGAAACCACTTATGCGTCTGTTATGGAATCATCAAAGAAATCTACTTAATGTATGAGACTCACTCAAAATTCCTTGTAGATCAAAATGATTCTTTATTTTGACGGTTGAAAAATTTCAACACAAAAACAACGATACTTGTAGTATAGCAAGGTTATACATATGTATATATATAGTATAGCAAAGTTATACATATGCATCGAAATCGTAAAACATTATAACATATTCAGATTGTATGTCAAATATCAAAAATTATTAAAAGTTATCTCGCATTCAATTTTTCATTATTTTATTGTGCATTGAGGGACATAATCTATAGTAAATAACCTAACTGTCAAATTGACCACTCTTCAGCAGCACAGACATTTCGTGAGAAAATATCCGGAACCGGTTGGGACTTCCCTACAAAACGAATGAATATAAAATAGTATTTCTCACCTAAGGGCATTCCACTACCTAAAACAGCGGCCAATCCTACGAATTTTGCTACAAGGGTTCGGAATGTTAGATATTCCTTCAGGGCTACACCTCTGAGAATCGTTTTCATTTCTGGTATACCTGAACCTGCAATCAAAATAAATGGAAAATGAAAAATATACGTGTGAATCAGTAATCAGATCTGAATTAAAAAAATGTTAAAATAACCATGTTATCTTCTTGTTTCTATTCTTTTACTCTAGACTGTGGTGATTGTGTAGTTTGACCGACGTGAACTCTATTGTAGTTGTGGAAATCAATGTAAACAGTGACAGCTATGAATAAAATGTTTATTTTTTTCTCTCTCCTCTCTCTGTCTGTACCTGCCTCGGCAGGCAACTAGATGATAACAGAGCCCGGCAGAGTTTCATTGATGCAATAGCATCAGTAACAGCGTCGACAAATATGACAAATAAAATACAAGTTGAAGCTAGTGAACTCGAAAAATGTCTAAACACATTGTCATTACAATGTGTTTAGACATTGTGTTTAGACATTTCATAACGATTTATTTCACTAAAAATAAATCGTTATGAAAACGCAATATCTTAATGAGGATCTGAAGTGATTTTGAATTGGGGTGAAAATAACCAGGTTCAATTCAGTGCTACAAAAACCCAGGCATCGGTTTTCTCCAAAAAGATTAATATCTCCGATCCGGATATAATTATGTCAGGGTAGACAATTCCGTTTTCTGCTTCGATTAGTTTGTTGGAAAAGAAAAGCTTGAAACACTGTTCCGAACCAGAAAACTGTACACAACTCAGAAACTTTTGATACTTTATGAAGCTCAGATCAGACCTTCTCTGGAGTATGGAGCTCCGCCCATGAGCATACACTGAAGCTGCTGGACTCCATCCAGAAAAAAGCCTGATTGGAGACGTGAACATCACTTGCAACCTTGATATTCTGGAACATCGACGAAAGATTGAGGATTTGTCTCTCTTCTATAGATACTTTCACGGGAACTGTTCAAGTGACTTGATACATTTGATTCCACCAAAAGGGGTACATATCAGAAATACGCGACGGACTGTGGTTGCTCATCGATCTGAGGTTCAACTTAGTACACCTCGAACTCCACTCTTTAAGAACTGTTTCATTTGGAGTACTGTGTTTATGTGGAATAAACTTCTTGAAAAAGTTTTTCCAATGTGAACGCTACCTTGTCACAGGCACCGCTCTTAGAATTTTCCTGTAGTGCCTGTGTTTGCTCTTGAAAAAATAAATAAAGTAAAACTTTCACACAGGCTATCATGTGACAACAGTTTAAATTCATATTACATACCTACATACTACTTATTCTAATTTGTTTTATCAAATTCATACATATTTATGATACGAACATATGCATATAACATGTAACGTACTATGTTCATCTCTATTATTTATATACAGTGCATTCCACTTGAATGAGTCACCTTTAGATTTCAGAGGAACCCATCTCTATGCCAAAATCAATTCTTCGCCAGTCAAATCCTTCCAACAAAATCCCTTATGTAAAAAATTATGAATAGAAATAATAATCAAATGACACCTTATTTGAGAGGATATTTAATTCCGCAATTACAACAATAATCAATGTTAGAAAAAATAAATACTCTTTTAGGTTTTTATTTATTTCCAAACTAGAGGGTCAACCTCAACAAACAATTCCATCATTTGAATTGTTCAAACAGAGAACTGATAGTAATGGTAATAATAGAAATGGAAACTCACGGCGAAAATTTCTGATTGAAATATTGGTTTGAAATAGAGTCTTAATCATCTGCTGATGATGCTAGCTGATGATTGATGATGCATCCTGAGACAGAATTTTTGTTCTGGTTTCAATGTATTCATTTCAAGAAAAAGGTTCCAAATGTTATTTATCAAGTCACTCCTATCACTCGACTTTTATCCACTTTTGGAATTTTTGACATGAGGGTTTATATAGGGGGTTGAAGTCTGAAAAGGGGTAAATTTTTACGTTTCACCTGAATTGCACTTTATGATGCCATGTAGTAAAAATACGTGCAGAATATATCAATTTCGTTTACTGGTAGAATAATCAGTATTTTTCATTTGTATGGTTTTAAAAAGTATTTTTTGTTAGAATGGTTTGAAAGGGTAATTTCTGTTCTATAAAACTAGTCAGTTAAATTTGATTCAAACGAAAACAATCATACCTGTTAAAAAATATGTTTTCTAGCTGTTGCAGCCATACGAACGACAACCCTAAGAAGTCGAAACTTGTGTGAGCTAAGGATTAACGAGGTCTTACCTTTTAACGTGTGACTCCTAACACGGGGACAAATAAGAGGATTATCCCATACAAGCACCACCATCATCTTAGTCACAATGTTAATATTGCTAATAAGCTATGAGGAAGGATATACAAACATATGATTAGAACATCAGTTACCTAGCCATTTAATTTTCATTAACGAAATATATTCCTCTTGTTCGATTGATGACCACTGAATGAATAAAGAAAACATGAAAATTCTCCATACGTGCAGTGAAAGAAGGGAGATGAATACGGAAATAAATACATTGGAAGTACATGTTATGGAAGTTAAACAATTATTGTATCAGGTATTGATGAATCAGGTGACTTTTTTGTTATTTCAGGTACATGTTTAATTAGGCTTCCTAAATGACATTTTTGTTGAAATCTGTTAAAAATCTGTTTTTCCGTTAACCAGCTGTCGCATGTACAGTTCTTTTCTTTATTGTCCCCCCTCCTTTTATTTTTTGAACGGGTCAACCTAAAAAATTGAAATTTGGGATAATGAAATTAATGCATGAATACTTTATTATGAAATAAAGTTGACAGATGAAACCTTCAAGATGGCGACTGGGCGCCATCTGGGAAAAAAATTAAATGGAAAAGGGGTCTTGTGACAAATCTTTTTGAAGCTACTGAGAAATGCTTCACAACCACAGAATATAATGTCAATATCTTCAACTACTAGAAAATGGCGGATCTTTTAATAATTGCCTAAATACATTGACATTTAACTACATAATATGAGGTAATAAGCTTGAGGTCAGTTCAGAAGATGCTCGAAATGCTTGACTGGAACTTCTTGACCTATGAACTGCCTATCCGATATTTCACGTCGAACATTTTCGAACACAGTAACGTCAATATCTCTATAAATATTTATTATTATCTGCTGCATACCCAATATGGAAGCAGGTTCAGTTTCGTACACCTTTTGCTTCAAATAGCCCCATAAAAAAGTCCAAAGGTGTCAAATCTGGCGAGCGGGCTGGCCATTCTGTAAGATCTCGACGGCCAATCCAACGACCGGGAAAAGTAGTATCCAAATAGTTTCTTACTTCTCTGGAGTAATGTGGTGGTGCTCCATCTTGTTGGAATACAATATCCATATCGAATTCAGTAGGATTCGCTAAGACTATTTCAGTGATGAGAGGGTCAATAGTAGTCACCAGCATATTCAAATACAGTTCTTCTGTTGAATTTTGATCAATAAATAGAGGCCCTACAATATGGTTTCCCGATATTCCTGCCAAAACGTTAATTTTTTTAGATATTGTGTATGTGTTTCCTGGAAAACGTGGGGGTTGGTGTCACTCCAATAACGGAAATTTTGTCTGTGAACATTGCCGTTCAAAAAAAATGTACATTCGTCACTGAAACAAATATTATAGAGATAGGTAGGATGCCTTGCAATAGTTTCCGTCATGATTTCGCAGAATTCTGTTCTTCTATCAGGGCCATCTTCAGTTAATTAGTGTACCATTTCAATTTTGTATGGATGATACCTATTCCTCTTCAAAAGTCTCCACACAGACTCCTCTCATTCCGAGAGGAGACACTTCACGGAATAAGTAGACTGTTCAGAATTCACTACCATCTCACCATTTACTTGCACTTGCTGTTCTTCCGGAATGGACGGATGACCTATGTACACTACCGGTAGTTGTGAATTTGGATACAAGTTCCTTTAAATACTTTCCACAGATAGGACGATTCGGAAAACTTTCATTAAAAATCCTTTCAGTCTCGTGAAAGTTACTCGTCGCACAGTAAATAAAAATCGCTTCAATTTTTTCTTCCAATGGACGAGAATTGATCATTTTAGAGATTGTTGACGTGTTACTTTTCTAGTAAAACCGCAAACTAAATGAGAATATTCTAACTGAACAATGACGTTCATTGATAAATTGGTTTTGGCTTTCGCGGCCAAGATTTTCAGTGTTACGATCTTTCTTTGGGTTTGAAGGCCGTCGTGGTTTGGAAATGTATCCTAACGTTTCGCCAGCACGAGTGGCTGGCTTCTTCAAAGGTCTATTCGTCCTGATGGTTCACAGTTCCAAATCACGACGCCCTTCAAACCCGAACGAAGATCGTAACACTGAATGATGTTCACTGTCGTACTGACTTTTTTTTGACGTTTTTATAAACAAAAAATAACTTAACAAACTCTATCGGGTTGTTGGAATTGCCATATGACAAATAAAAAGGAATATTTCTATCAATGTGTTTGTCTTCAGGAAATTATTAAATGATCCGCCATTTTGTAGTAGGTGAAGATATTGACTTCATATTCTACGGTTGTGAAGAATTCATCAGGAGCTTCAAAATGATGTGTCGCAAGACCCCCTTTTCCATTTATTCCCAGATGGCGCCCAGTCTCCATTTTGAAAGTTTCATCTGTCAGTTGCACTTCAAAATAAAGTATTCATGAATTTATTTCATTATCCCAAATTTCAATTTTTTGGGTTGAGCCGTTCAAAAAAAGGGGGCACATTAAAGAAATGTACTGTATATTGTATATTTAAGGATGTGTTTGTCAAACTGCGTCAGTTTACTTGAGAACGGTTGAATAAACCGAAACCGGTCGTAACAAATAAAAATCCTAATGGAAATTAGACAAAAGTTAGTTTCTCTATACTATGTTGTTTTGTTGAACAAAACATAATTTGTGAGTCATGTTCAAGAGTTGCAGTTTACAAACTTTCGATGTTGTGTGTATTTTGTCGCGATATCTAAAATTAATTCCGAATTCCAAGTGAAACAAAAACATTTTGTTTTATGTTAATAGTCAAATGAATGCTAAGTATCAAGCATTGCC